TCAAAATCTTCCCACTCTGAAGGCTGAATAAAAAAAAGATCGTTTACAGACCCCCGAAACACCGGCTTCGTATGGATGAGAGGCTGGTTTGGTGAAAAATGTGTGCGTTTAGGCCAGGGTTTGGCTTCGTGTGGACGGGGCCTAAATAGATCTGAAGATGTTCAAAGTCAAAGTAGTGTCGCAGACAGAGAGAAACAAGTAGATCACTTGGTAAATTTAAGCGGTTTAAAATTTTGCAAAGGACAGCCATGCAAACCAATCTCTGTCTCACACTCCGTTGACCGAGCATCAAGTGCCAAAGTTCACAGCTTGAAAAACTCTGAGGAGAACCAGTCTCCCTTGTGTCATCAAAGGTTAGCTCAAAACCCCCCACCACTTAATGAGCAGAACCAGCTTCCTGACGGGCCAGGTCCACCGAGTGACCATAGAATTCAACAAATTGAATCCTTGGCCAAAGACATTGATATTTTTGACCCAGAAAATCAACACTCAAACATAGCTGATTATCTGCAAGAAGTTGAGCACTGTCTAAAAGACTTGCCATTTCCTTCTTCTCGTGAGAAATTAAAGCTGATTTGGAAAACAACAGCTAGAAGCGTCCATGTTTTCATAAAATCTCTTCCTCCAAAAATCAGAGAAAGTTATTCAGCTCTTTGTCAAACCTTAAGAGAAGAATATTCTGGTTACAGAGATCCGGCGTTAGCAACGCTTGAGGCATCTTTAGCTCTCCAAGGAGAACATGAAACACCCAGAGAATATTACTTTCGCTTGAGACAGGTTTATTTTGAGGGCTGCAGGTCTCCAGATATTGACGAAGAAGATGCCACATTTAAAGCATTGTTCATCCAAAATCTACATAAAAGTGTACGATATGATGTAGCAATGCATTGCAGGATAGAGAACCTTTCTATGCAGGAAACTCGCAGATATGCTCAGCTTGTTTGGGAAATACGTCTCAAATCAGATAGATTTCAAAGCAAGCTTAGAGTCTTTAACCTTCAAACAAAGAACAGGACCAGAAACAGACACAGATTCAGTTCCCCGGTGGTTCACCAAGATGAAGGAATTAATGACTTGAAAGAACGAAAACCTGAACCCCCAGATAAACGTCATAAACCTTCACATCACAATTCAAAACCAAAGGTTTACACTGGTAAAGGGGGACATCAACAAGCTACAGAAACAACAACAAAAGAAAACTTAGAACAGATCTGCAAAACAGTTCTTACAGAGCTACTGGCTTCTCTGACCAATCACAAAGTACTACAATTCCAAGCTAATGGTAAAACTTATCATATCCAAGAGTATGATAGTTGCTGATAATTTCTAACATACTTTAACCTGTTTAATCCTTTCTTTCTTTTGTTTCACAACTTGAGAAATGATGAAGGTTGAACAACAGCATCATGAAGGTGTTAGGAAATTTTGTTTGGATTGTATATATTTGTGTATCAGGGTTAGACTTTCCTGCCGGACCTGCCTCAACCAGACGCAAACCTCTGGAGAAAATGAACTGTTTTATGATAAGATAGGGTCAGCTTCTGCCAGACCTGCAACAAATCATCCAGGGATAAACACTGGAGAAGATATGAACCCTAAATGAACTTTCTTCCTGCCAACAGGAACCTGACTCATCACCGCTCCAGATATCATGGCTTTATGGACCTATTTGTGATCTGAAAACAAAGAACTGCATCTTTTATTTCCGGATCAAAAGGGGGACTGTTGTGCCATATGCCATGATCATACTTTTTGGACATTGGGAAGCAGTGTCCATATTTCATCCTGATAGGATGACCAGAGAAGAAAACGCAGCTTTGGTGAATAACAGCTGGGGGACTTCTGCAGCCCCCCTTTTTCAGCCAAAGCAGTCACATGGGAGCCACCAGAGGTGTGAAAACCTACCCCCCTCCCTTTGAGGACAGAGAAAACCACAGAGCACACAGGATTCTGCCTCTTTTGCCTCACTCTTTTGCTCTTCTGCTGCAGCACCTCTCTCCTGGTCCCTTCTGCTCCTGCGCTCAAAGCTGGGGCCCACTGTGGCCCACAGTGGAGATGCGGGCCCCAGGGGAACCAGATCCCCAGAACCATCAAGGATGAGTCAGAATTCTTCAGAACCTAACTGCTGCAAACAGAACTTTTGCAACACATTTCTCTTGAGTTTCAGAACTTACAGAGCCAAACTGGATGAGAACCATATCCTTGGGGGTGAGACTGAGAGGACCCCTGCTGTGAGACTGAGACAAAGGAACCCCTGACTGCAGAGCTGCAAAACTGGATGAAACTCAAGCTTTCCAAATGGACATGGAAAAAGGTTTGCAGTCTGGCATGATTAGGGACAGAACAAGCAATATGTCTTTTGATTATGCTAATCATATCGTGTGTTTACTGTTGAGTAAAGACAACGCTAATTGATGCTAAAGAATAGACTGCATGCTACGCTATGCTACAGGAATATGTGTTGAGTTGTTGCTAAAGCTTAGACAAGCTTTATTCACTAAGGATTTAAACACTGATATAACATTAGTGTTCATATGTTCGTCAAATGCTCATTACATTTCCATTACCAAGTATGACCAAGAGTCAATTAGTGGAAGCCTGATGCCTATTCGCTGCTAGCTATTTCAAAGAGGGTAAAGAATCATTTAACTAAAGGTTTTGGTTCTTGATTAAGCAAATCATTCAATAAAACATTATTTGGCCGAATAATGTTTTATTCACCTCATGGATTTGCATTGTGAATTGGTCTGAAAACATTCCAATTTCTTTAAAATTAGTGAAAAGCTAATTTGATCATATCCCAAATTATTCCAGATAAACTTTGGTTTCAAACACAGAATCCATCTTAAACTGCAATATGGTTTTCAACCGTTTTCCCCTTCCTCTTTGTACATAGTAGTTAGTTTAGTTGAGTTTTACTAGTCTTAGTTGAGAGTGTTAAACTGAAATACGTTTGACTTGGAGCTGAATGATTTTTGTTAATAAAATCTTATATTTTGAACAGAAGTTGTGGTGAATTTATTCCATGTATGTGCAGAAATACCTGTTTGACCATGATTAGTGCTCGAATCACTCTTTCATCTATTGTTCTAACACACAGTTAGTAGGACTGTGTGTCATAAACACTATATAACAGCTGAAATAATATCTGATTAAATAAGATATTTTACCACCCCTACAGGGGAGGGCAATAAACATCTTAAAGTATCAGAAACATAAATTCCCAGCGGGCTGGGAATAGAAAAGACTATAGAATCAGAACAGATTGAAATATATAGGGACATCATGATGCTGAAGTGAGCCTTACTTTAGAGAAATACAGTTATATGTAAAAAAAAAAATAATAATAATAATAATTTAATCTATAAATTAAATCTGCCCTACACGTCATGATTTTGGTTCTTTTCAAGTTTTATCTTTGAGTTTTCATTGGTCTTATTTCCATTGCTGTCACAGTGGGGTGGAGGTTTGACAGGAGGACCCAAATGCAGACTGAAGCTAAAGGAGGTTACTTGAAGATTTATTATCCAAAAAGTTCAACAGAAACAATAATCCAAAAACATAAATCCACAAAATCTGAGAACCAGAACTACTCACAACAAGGGGAAAAGAAACGACAACAAATCAGCAAAGAGTGACTGCATGGGAGGAGAATATATGGGAGAGAGAAACAAAGACCAGGCTAATTAGCAGACTGGGAGCAGGTGTGAACAGAGGAGGCAAGAAGGGAGCTAGGGAAAAGGAGACTGACACAAGAGGGCAAACAAGAAATATCTAAGAACACAAATACAAACAAGAATAACTAGAACACAAAAATGGAAATAAGACCGATGAAAACTCAGAGATAAAACTTGAATAGAACCAAAACAATGACACTACCTTAAAGGAATAGTACACCCAAAACATGATTAGCCTTCATTTTCTACTCACCCCCATGCTGAACAACACTCTGGAGTACTTTTTTGATATCTCAAATGCATCTGGAGATCTGGGAGGCTTCTTGCTGTCTGCTGACATTCAAATAATGGAGGTCTATGGTGACCGAGACAGAAAGGTCCATAAAAGTCCACAAAAAACTTGTCAATATTCCTCCATACTGCTCGTCCAATGTATTCCAAGTGTCCTGAGTGGGTAGCATCCAGAATTTACTCGAAACAAAGTCATTTAGAATGTTTTTAGAGCATAAACAGTAGTGTATAGGATTTCCTGAAAGCGCGCGCCGGCGCGTTCATGACGCTACGGAAGCCGGCAGACTAAGCCAGATGAAAGTGCGCATTCAGCGTCTGCTCTGCCAATAATGCAAGCGTAGAAGAAGAAATGTGCTGTTTACCTGTGCAAAGAAAGAAACAACGAAAGAAAAATGTCTGAGGACTTCAGTGTTGAGGAGGAGCATGAGTTCTTTGCCGAGCTGAATGCGCTGGTTTGGTCTGCCGGCTTCCGTAGCGTCGGGACCGCGCATGTGCGCGCTTTCAGGAAATCCTATACACTACTCTTTATGCTCTAAAAACATTCTAAATGACTTCGTTTCGAGTAAATTCTGGATGCTACCCACTCAGGACACTTGGAATACATTGGACGAGCAGTATGGAGGAATATTGACACGTTTTTTGTGGACTTTTATGGACCTTTCTGTCTCGGTCACCATAGACCTCCATTATTTGAATGTCAGCAGACAGCAATAAGCCTCCCAGATCTCCAGATGCATTTGAGATATCAAAAAAGTACTCCAGAGTGTTGTTCAGCATGGGGGTGAGTAGAAAATGAAGGCTAATCATGTTTTGGGTGTACTATTCCTTTAACATTCAGCACAATGTAAGCAGCAATAAAATAAAAAGAGAAGTTATTCAAACTCAAATATATGAGGCATGGTTTTAATGCACTTTGTTTATGGAACGTTGTTAAAAAAGAGAATATTCTGACACTTTCTTGGTTTGATTTTAAGGATTGTTTCTTTAATTTTAGAAATGGTTCTTGAAATAAAGCCAGACAGACACAAAAAGTGATGCTTCAAAGCTTTAATGCATTGTGATTGAAATATAACAGAGTGAAGGAGCAGTAGGGGCTAACAAGAGGGCGGAGATGAGCTTAGGGTAGAGTTTTTAGAGTGAGGCAGGAACTCTGCTCATTGGAAAAGGCTGCAGGTTATTTTTCTTTGGCTTCTTGGAGAAAGAGGCCTAAGCTAATTCTTTAGTGACAGGATTAAGGCGAGCGTTGATGTAGCCCATATAACCGGAGACCTTAGTGTAGATGGTTAAAGAGGCGCTATTACAACCATCTGGATTCCCAGAGCTCATGATTCCAACCTGCACAAAGCCTCTGCTTGTTTTACACATGAGCGGGTCACCATAGTCCCCCTGTAAAGGACAAATATTTGACATTAGATCATTATATTCATCGTTATTCTGGGTCTACTTAGACATTATAATTATAAAATGTTCTTAGAAACAGTTTATTTTGTTTAAAGTTTCCTGACACAAATTTGCACAGTCACCTCAAGTCAATATAAAGCCGTCTGAATAAACTTGATACATGTCTGTTTGAGTGTTAGGAACAAATCAGTACCTGGAATACAGGGCAAAGTTTTCCAGGGAAAATAAAAGCTGACTTGGTCTGACGAAAACAAATATGAAGAGAACAAGCCTCTAACTACGGAAGCTTTGATTCATGAGCAATCAGACCTATAACTCCTGCGCCGTAGCGTCGGTGTTCTGTCACTGGGGTTTTCTGAACAGCCTTATTTCTGTATGTTAGCTTCTGTCTCCCTGAACCCCAGTCGGCCTCAGCAGATGGCCACTCCCACTGAGCCTGGTTCTGCTGGAGAATTCATCCTGTTAAAAGAGAGGTTTTCCTCTCCACTGTCGCTACAAGCATTCTTGGTGTGAGGCATTGCCTTCGAGTCAATGATTCGATGCAATCAGCTGGTTTTCCTTAGATGGAAAACTTTGAATCAATTTGACTGGATGATCTGGTTGAATTGTAAAGTGCCTTGAGATGACATGTGTTGTAAATTGGCGCTATAGAAATAAACTGAATTGAATTAACCTCCAAAATTAGTCCAGATTAAAGATTTTCATTAAAAAACAGTCAAAATTTTTTCTGGTGTATTCCATGCGACCTGACAATGAGTGAAAAGAAAAAGGAAACTAAAAAGCTGATTTGCGTACAGGTGGTACAGCGACTTCACAAGTATTGGCCCCCAGGCATGGATGGACTGGGAGTCCAGGGCTGTTGGCCAGCCTCATTCATTACTCATAAAGGTTAATCATCTCGTTATCTCAAGAAATCAATGACTGTTTTCTTTTGAAAATAAAAAAAAATATCTTGTTATCTCAAGAAAACTAATTAATGGTTCAACCGCGATAACAAGATAGTTATGTCATTATCTCTGGAAGACAAAGAATAAAAAAGGTGGAGTACGGCCGCTCTGGGCTTCCGTATATAACAGCATTTTGATCCATACAATTCTAAAAGCTAACTGCACCATTTTTGTCATAATTTTTAGACTGTAATGAGACAAAAATCTACTAGAAAAAGACAAATCAGTATAACAGTTGCCTTTTTTTCCAATCCCCACTAAAGCATTTATATGTTTAATCTAAGGGTCATAAAGTTAGGCTAGTTTGTTAGCTCACCTGTTAGCATTGCGTGTAGCTAGAGGCTAACTGGGTTTTGCATTTTGGCTCCACTGGGATTCCCTAGATTTTTCGACTACTTTCCTACTGACTGAAACATGCATGTTAGCGCCTGTCGGTGTGAAAATGGGTTTGTTTTCTGTTTTTGTTTTTTTTGTGCCCGAAAAACTAAGGAGGAGTTGGCATAAATTGTTCGATTAAACTATTAACTAAAACTCTTTGATACATACATTTTTTAAATATGTTTTAAACAGAAAATCAATTTTCACATTTCTTAGCTTATATAAATGCTGTGACTTACATCGCAGGCGTTCTTGTTTTGTGCATTAGGGACACCTGCACAGACCATCTTATCGCTGTACTTTTCTGTCGTTATATCTGGAAATATGCGGCTGCATTTTTCCTGAGGCAAGATGGAAACCTTCAGCTGCTGAAGAGAATTTGGATTCTTGTCTGAACCTGGTTGAACAAACAAAGAAAGTAATGACAACTTTATGCTAACAGTTTAAAAAACTTATATTTTTTATCTATACTTGTAAAAAGTTGATATTATATCAACGTCAAAAATAAAGCCACCTGTACCTTTTTCCCCCCAGCCAGCGATCCAACACTCAGAGGATGAATCGAAGGTTTCATCCTCCTCTGGCAGCTTCACTGGGGAAGTATGTTTCATCGTAGAGAAGTCTAACGGTTTCTTCAACTTTATCAGTGCGATGTCATTGACGAAGCTTTTGCCCACTGCCGCGAAGTCATTCAAACGATCAACGGTTATTACCTTGCTGTAGCGTTCAGCTGGTTTATCCAGTTCATGCACGCCGACCCACACTCCTGTTCGATCCCATCTAGACCACAATTCACTGGAACAAAGAACTCATTTATTATTTCATTGTTATTCTTTTTAAATCAAAACCTCAAACATTATCAAGCTGTACTGAGTATGATCAGCTGAAGGACATCAGTTAAGGCCTATTTTCCAAAATATATCTACTTTGATAAAACAAGGTAACCAGACCCATCTCTTTATCTGACTAAGCTGCCAGGACACGACATGGTACTTAATTATTTATCTCAGGAAAACTATAATTAAAGGACGTTTTTAACCCTTTATAGTACAAGTTACCGTTATTGATCGCTTGCATACCCCTTACAGGAGTTCCCCCCCTGTCCCTCAGTGAGGTCTAGAAGCACAAGGTCTATAACCAGCCATTCAGCAAAGATCCTGCTACTTTGCTGTACATCTTATTTTGGCATTTGACCAATTAGATGAGCCCTTGAATGATATATTACCTATTGTAAATTGAGTTGACAAAAAAAGTAAACAAGTCAATAAAAAAGGTAAAAAGCTAATTGAAAAGTTAATAAGCCTACTTAACAGTTATATTTAGGTTTATAAATTAACAAATGTATGTGCCAGTATCAGCATTAATGCCTCTAAGGTTACGTTGGACCAAAAAAAAAAAGGGTTTCTTTTACTCTCAGAGTGTTTTCCATAAACTTCTTCTAGAAGCACTTTTGTTATTTTTCTTAATATATTTGGGCCAATTGGCGTTTCTTGTTATTACGTTGACGTTAATTTTTGCCATCAAAATGTCCATATATATTTTTTTCATGTTACAAAAGTAAAAACGTCTTGTCCAGGATTCCAATAACACTATTGGCTTGAAATTTTATTTGTCAAAGTATTTCACTGTGCCCTATAAAGGGTTAATATATACAAAAGAAGTTACCAGTGAATCTATTGCTGTTTTGATGCAACAAATTAACCATTTATAATATTCTCTGCTTGAAGTTTAACATGTCATATATTTCTATAAAGTATACCAGATCATATACTTGTATGAAAAGTATTTTAGACATTGTCAGTTCCCTAGTAATCTGGTTATTTCCATATAAATCATAATAAGGCTTTAAAAGCATAATCTAGCTGTTAAATAATCTAAAATTATTAGAACCTGTACAGTAGCCTATTTAGATCCAAACTTACTCATCCCAGCAGCGCCCAGCAGTCATCACCCAGTTTTCATTGAGGATTGTGCCACTGCAGTGCCACTTCCTCTTCCCGCTGTCAGTCTTGATGTCAAGGTACACCAAAGATGGCCACGAGCCCTTAGGGGCATCATCCCCACCAACGATGGAGCTCCTCACTGCAGCTCCCATTGAATCTAAAACACAAGAAGGATAAAACCACAATAGTTTAAATTGTGCTTTAACTTAAAGCATCTAATAAGCATTAATTCAGTTCCATTTAGTTTTTTTATATAGCACCAATTCATTAGGCATGTCATCTTAAGGTACTTTCCAGAGACAAATCAACCAGATCGTACAGACAGATTGGTTCAAAGTTTTCTATCTAAGGAAAACAGCTGATTTTAACTGAAAGAAACCTCCAGCAGAACCAGGATCAGTGTGAGCGTCCATCTGCTGAGGCCGACTGGGGTTTATGAGACAGAAGCAGACATAGAAAAAGAAGCATAGATACAAAAGGCAACTGTCAACCAGCTCCACAGGCGGCCCCGTCCAGGAAACACACAGCCAGGCAGACGAGCTCCGAGCCAGCTCCCATGTCAGAGGATGAAGAGAGCACATCCAGTTAGTCACAGTCAGAGAAACAGGACTACACTGGAAAACAGGCCAAGCTCCAAAATCTAGAAACAAAGGTGCTGATGGCAGCAGCACAGCTGATATTTCTCTCCAGGATGGAGTCACAGCCAAACAGGAACAGACCAGATGAAGCTACTATGAGAAAAAGCAGAGAGAGCAGAACGTTAGAGATTGAACTAACAGATTCTGCAGAGTGGGAGAATAGTGATAGAATGAAGCAGAATGATTAAAATAGGGGTCCCTATGTCCTCCAGCAGTCTAAGCCTATAGCAGCACAAATGCAAAAATAGCTCAGAATAAACTGAGTATTTTGGAAGAGGTAGAGCCACAGTGGGGGCAAGGTAGAGGATCAGACTTGGTTCAAACATTGTGGATGACAGAATAATTCAGCAGACATTGATGTGTACCTGATAATAATAATAAAGCTATCTACAGAAGAAAGAGACGTGAGGAAAATCAGAGGGCCGACAATAAAGAGAAACAAACTCTTGCTAATGAAAGAATAACTGGAATAACTTATCTGTTTCTGAGGTTATAATTTCTCAAGAAACATTTCCAGAATTAAATGACAGTTCAGTCCAGATTATTCAGCATCAAAGGAGATGGTTTCTCACCTGCAGAGCTCTGGAGCAGAACCAGCACAGCAATAAGCTTAGCTACAGCCATGGCTGAGATAGACTCTGGAAGAAGAGACTGTGCAGGCAGCCAGAAACTGATGGAGTTTTATACACACAGCCGATGACCAGAGAGTCTTATCAGCTCCATCACCCAGCCCCTTAGAGGCCGTGGAGAGCAGAAAAGAAAGAGACCTAAAAGCTTCTTTTATGTTGTGAGGATATTGATGGAAAGGAAGTTTTAAAAAATTCATTTTAAACATATTTATTAAAACTCAATGTTACAGGAAATGCATTTCTAAATGTTTACTACGTTAATACAAAACATTTTAAATCTCATGACCTTTTTTACATTCAATCAGGACTTCGAACTGAATTTTAAAACATTAAACAAGGTGGATGAATAAAGAAACACCAGCTTTAACCAAAGTTCATATTTGTTAAATATTTCAGAGATTCTCTATTATTTTCACAATTATCCTCAAAATTCTGTGGGGACTTTTTTAATATTTATAAAATCTAAAAAAAAAAACTACTAGGTTTGTGTTTTTTTAAGATAAAAATATGAAAAGGTCTAAATAACGTGAATAAATCTGTGAGACACTTAGTGAAAACCGTTTCTTACGGCAGAAGAATCAGTTGTACCTAAATTCCTGGTCTTGATTTGTCTGCTGTGAAGTCTGGCAATTTATAAAAAAGGTTTATAAACAATGCTGCATTTATTTACTTTAAGTTGAAATGTAAAATTTGTTTTGAGTGAAACAGACGTCAATATGAAACCTTGGTATTTACAGATATGTGGAAAACTACTGAAAGCAGAACAAGAAATGCTTCAAGTTAGAAACTGAGGCTAAAATCCACAGTCTGACAAAATGTTGCAGATCAGATGAGTCTCAGTTTCAGACGGTGAGTTCAGATAAACATGAAAACAAATCCATTCTGATTCAGGCTATCATTCTTTTACTTTTTTAAATTGTTTTGGCCTAATTAACCACAGCTAAACCGACAGACACCTTTAGTAACAGCATTTGGAGATGAACATGCTCACCATCCTTGATAACCTTCTGCAGAAGATTAATCTACTGTGATCTTAAATGGGGAACTTGACTTTAAACATGGAACATGCAACATGTTTAAATCAGAGTTTTTTTTGAAAAAGTTTAGATCAAACCACAGACCTCCTGTGGAACAGTGAGAGAGGCTTCAGAAAAAGGTTTGTCCCATTTTTGAAAGACTCTTTGTGCTGACTATTATTTGCTATAGGCTTAGACTGCTGGAGGACATAGGGACCCCTTTTCATCATTCTGCTTCATTCTATCTCTATTCTCCCACTCTGCAGAATCTGTTAGTTCAATCTCTAACGTTCTGCTCTCTCTGCTTTTTCTCATAGTAGCTTCATCTGGTCTGTTCCTGTTTGGCTGTGACTCCATCCTGGAGAGAAATATCAGCTGTGCTGCTGCCATCAACACCTTTGTTTATAGATGTTGGAGCTTGGCCTGTTTTCCAGTGTAGTCCTGTTTCTCTGACTGTGACTAACTGGATGTGCTCTCTTCATCCTCTGGATAGGGCCGCCTGTGGAGCTGGTTGACAGTTGCCTTTTGTATCTATGCTTCTTTTTCTATGTCTGCTTCTGTCTCCTGGAACTCCAGTCGGCCTCAGCAGATGGCCGCTCACACTGAGCCTGGTTCTGCTGGAGGTTCCTTCATGTTCAAAGGGAGTTTTTCCTCTCCACTGTCGCTACAAGCATTAGTGTGAGGGATTGCTGAAGAGTCAATGAGTCGATGCAATCAGCTGGTTTTCCTTAGATAGAAAACTTTGAATCAGTCTGACTGGATGATCTGGTTGAACTGGAAAGTGCCTTGAGATTAGGGGTGGGTATTGCAAAAGACGTCACGATGCGATTCTATCACGATGCATCACGATACTTGAATTATTGTGATGCATTGCAATATCTTCTCCTCCATGTTTTGTTTTTGAATGACTCGGCGCAGTAGAAATGCTTGTGACACAAGGCAGCGTGCGTCAATACATCCGCAGCGACATCTACTGGACTGGAAGTTGTATAACACTTGTTTTTGGCTGATGTTCGCCAACCATTGATGCAATTTTATTTATTAATTTTTTTAAATTAATAATCGATACTTGGCGTCAAGAATCGATGCAGTAGATCACGAAAATTAGAATCACGATGCATCATCACGACGATTATTTTGCACACCCCTACTTGAGATGACATGTGTTGTGAATTTGGCGCTATATAAATAAACTAAATTGAAATTGAAATTGAAGAGAAAAGTTAGAGAAATTCGGCTGTAACCACAAGGATAGATTGCCTCTTGTGGAAGCTTTCTGCTCTCTGGGATACCAAGACAAGAGGAAACATTCACTAAGCTGCTGTTGGGATAATACAGTTGGAGCCAAACCCTCTTCTTTAAAATAATGTTTTATCCAAATGTATATTTTCCCAATCAAAACTAAGAGACCAGAGAAATAAAAAAAAAAGATAAGTCAATATACAACGTGCAGCTAGAGATATGACTTATCACACAAGACAAGTGACTGCGTTTAAGACAACAAAGCCCCCAGAATGAGCTGGAGGACGCTACTAAGAAGGAGGATGTCTGGTTCACTCCTAGACCTGTTAACCTCTCAGCCACACTTCAAAAAATAGAGAAATAGATGAAAATACATAGAATCACCATCGTTATTCACCATAATACAACACAGTACAAAATAATCTTGAATGGTGTTAAAACATTACAAATAGCTAAGTTTGAAGTTAAGTTATTTTCCACTTCAACCCAGCCCCTGAACACGTCAACTTATACTGGTGATACAAATTACCTTTATAATCTGCATTACTACTCGCAACAATCAATTATACACGTTTTTATGGTGTTAAATTGCTGCCAAAAATCAGACGTGCATGTTAAGCAATCACAAATCCCAAACATGCATGTAATAATTGAAAGAGTGCATAGCAGTGATCGCGGGCATGTGGTTATTCAAGCGCACTTGAACGCTCTTTCGGCTACTAAATGCACGGTTGTGATTAATAATTGCACTATTGTGATTGCTTTATACACTAGTCTGAGTTTTGGCAGCAATTTAACTTCATACATTTGAGCTTTTTTTCATTTTTATTTAAAGACACAAGAGTCACAAATCAATAAGTGGATTTTATTCTGCTGTATTGCAGAAAATGTCCAGTTTTGAAGGTTAAACCAGATGTAATGTTGAAAGGAGCCAATATAGCCCTTTATTGAACACAGAGGCGGATTTAGGAAATTTGGGGCCCTAGGCAAAGACAGACACGGGGCCCTCTGAACTGAGAAGACAACACATCAAACAGACCCAATATACAGATAGAGAAATGTTAATAGAATAGACATCCATTATTAGTTCTAGGTATTGTACCTCTCTTCTTGTCCCTTTTTGAGACACACTTAATATTACAAGCTTTTTGATGGCATTTTAGAAAAGGGATTTTTTTTAAACAAAAAACATTATTAATGTTCACAAATAAGGAATAGTTGTATTAACCATATATCCAAATAGAGTTTTATGGGGCCCCCAGGAACTTGGGGCCCTGGGCAACTGCCTAGTATTGCCTAATGGTAAATCCCCCCCTGATGAACGTAGATAAGAATTAAACAAATGGATGCTTCATAAATAACAAAACTGAGTTTGAAGTAAAGTTAATTTTAAGCTAAAGGAGCTAAAGGTAAAGAGAAATGAGGTGGGATTGGCCTTTAACTGAGTTCCAACTAGGAACCTTTGTCACCTATCGTGTTTCTAGGGAACATTTCCCAGTGGGGCACAGTATCTGCTGCTTGTTTATCAAAAAACTAGTGGTTCCAATCAGATAGCTGTTGTTGTAACCCGCGAATAAATACCCGAAGCAGAAGAAGTTTAGCTGCAGTTAGCCGTTAGCCTGTCTGTGTTCCTGGTCGGAACCATGGAGCGTTCAGCGAGCATTAATGCAGATCCTCCCCGGCAGCCTGGCAGTCACGGTGGGTCGCTTATCTGTGGTTTAAACTGAGATTTATCCCAATCATTAACGCTCCGTTCCTCTGCGGTGTCCAGGTTCCTGCGGTGGATGGAGAAACTGGGTCGGCTTCTGGTGAGTGAGAGCCGCTGCTTCAGCTAACCGAGCAGCTAGCTTCATGTTAGCATCTTTTACAGTTTGACTTTAAGATAAAAACATTAGTGAAACACCTGATGACAGAAACAATCTTCCCCACAGCGGTCTGATGATTTCCTACAGTCACTTCCCCCTTTACTTCTTAAAGAACAGAAACTAAAACTGTTGAACTTTTATTTTTTTTGCATTATAATGAACATTTCAGCTCTTCTTTCACGTTAAACCCCTCACACCACAGAGTTATGGCACTTTAACACAAACTGGGGCCATAGATGGTGAGGGGGAATAATTCCTGTGCTTCCGGGATCGGGCAGTGAGAGCAGAGCCCAGGGGTTTGCTAGCGTATCTCTAACTGGAGCAGACACTGGTTTAAGCGTGAGGAGAAGGAAAAAAATGAGAAGAAATTCTGTGCAAGAAGGATTAGATCTGAGAGCAGAAACAAATATTTGATGGAGAAGGAATTATATTTGAAAGAAACATTATGAGTTTTAGTCCAACTAGAGGAAATCCTCCTCCTCCATACGATCCGCTTACTTAGTGTCACTAATTGCAGACAGCTTATATAATAAGTGTTGTTGCTCTCATAAGCAGACCATGCTATTGGCCAAGGATTAATTAAGAAACCATGGTGATATGTGAATGCGCATGTTTCCTTGGTAGAAAGTTATTATTGTTTTATAGATACATACAGATCTGTGGATCTGTAAGGGGAAAAAAAGCAAAACTGCTCGTTTGTTTTCTCTGTTCCTCTTCTAACTCCTCCACAGGCTCCTCGGATTATGCAACAACTTTGCCTATGTGGTCATGCTGAGCGCGGCCCATGACATCCTGGAGAAACAAGAATCAAAAAACTCCACAACATCTGTAAGGAAGCAAAGATGTTTTTTGATTGAATCCACAGATTCAATAACAGACGTGTTTCCCATCCACTTTTTTTTATTTTTCACATTCTAGGCCCCACCAGAGCTGGTTGGGAACGTCCCATCTGGGAACAAGAGCAACAGTAGTGGATATGACTGCAGTCCTGTCAGCACAGGGGTAAGGGGAGATCAACCACACCTGTCTGGGATTAGACCTCATTAGATGTGATGCAGAGGTTCCCCAAAATAACCAGGCTGTCCCGATGCACCAAAGTAACCAGAGTTACAGAAACTTAACAGAAGCAAAAGGAGATTATAGAATCCGGCCGATATAATCAGATATTCGTTTTTTTGGGGGTGCAGCAGTCTATAACTGAAGGAGCTGTCCAGTTCAGCACCAGCTTCATGCATGGGATGGGAGAAATTATCTAACAGAGATGTTATTTAGTTACGATCCTTTTGTTTCCCACCTCCATTAACAGCAAACATATTCTGCCCGGCAGGTTTCTACATTTTAAGTTAATTTAGGCGTTAATAAACTGTTTCGGAGGAGGGATCATAGCGCTCTGCATCAGCAGTGCTGTGTCTGACTCCCTGCCAGCTCCCAGATCAGCTTCTCTGATTGGTTGATTTGGCGCTTCTAGCAGCAGAAGTTCAATTTTTCCAACTCCAGCAGCTGCTGCTTGTGAAATGCGTCACATGCCTCAGATGCTTATGGTGCTCTGCTGCTGCTGCTAGAGACCTTTTGATGTGCCTTTATGCACGTCAACTATTGAGTTTGGATGTAAACCAGCTGCTTCTGCTGTTCCAATCACCTGCGTAATGAACGTAGCTTTAGCAGCATAGCTTCTTATTGCCTGGTCCTTTCATTGCTTAGAAAGTTTAAACACGCATGCCGCTACCTGTGCAGCAACATAACCTGGTGCGAGGCTTTCCCCTCTGCAGATGCTCCATCCTTGGTCAGATGATGGATTGAGGAGAGCTCTGGGAGATGCTCAAATCTTGGGAGGCCGTTTAAAGGGGAACACCGTTTTTTTTACACTGGCCCCTTGATTTTACGTTATTCCATCATGTTTTACTCACCCATATGAGTTTTGTGTCATTTGGAGCCGTTCTGAAGATATTCTGTTAGGTGCGTGTATGACATCATCCGCGCGCCGGACTGGAGTTGTGACAGGCAGCCCAGGCCACAGGCGGCTACGCTCTACCCCTTCTATTCATTCGTCTAGCAGCTAGACGATTCAGATTAGCTAGACTCTAGCTAATCTGAATCGTTCAATTCCATTTGGAGAGCGAGATGATCTGTGGTAGCAGCACTAGACATCTTTCAGGCATGTGAGGAAAACTAGCAGCAGTTCAGCGGACAGGATGAAGGAATGGTAGCCGGCGTGCGCTGATGACGTCATACATGCGCCGCTTTGTTTTTAAAAGATATAAATATAAAAATTATAACCACGGATGTCTGAGGGACAGTGATTGGCCTCCATGTTCTGAATGCTGGCGTACCATAAAGAATAAATGATGAACAGTTTAGTTTGTGCCTTCAAGTCGTTGCCCATAGGAAGACGTTACTGGGATATAACCTAACGGAATATCTTCAGAACGGCTCCAAGTGGCACAAAACTCATATGGGTGAGTAGAACATGATGGAATAACGTAAAATCAAGGAACCAATGGAAAAAAAAAAAAAAAACTGTGTTCCCCTTTAAGAACCAAATCTTGCTTTAAAGAACTTCAAAGCAAGAACTTTGATCCTTCTGCAGGGTCTTCATGATGCCTGATCTCTAAAAGACCTTCAGATCTTTCCATAACAGCTGGATTTAACACTGAGATGAAATTAACCACCAGATGAATCTTTTTATTTATGTTTTTCCTCATCAGGTGATTGGTTGAACTGGGTTCTATTCGGGGGGTGAACTACCAACAGAAGCTAAATTCTAATTCAGATTTGAACAGTTTTCTTGCTCAAAAAAGAAAATAAAAATGGCGCTTCCTCTTCCTTTTCCATCACAGTCTCGCATTGCTTTGTGTCATTTAGGATCTAAAAACAAAGAGTTTTGGGGCTTTAAAGTGACAAAGCAGGAGCAGTTTGAAGAGTATGAATACTGTTGGAGCTTCCCATGTTTGACATGAATAATTTTTTCTCCAGCTTGTTTTTTTGTTTTTATATATGTGATGTTTTGTTTGCTGAAGTTTGGAGGCGGATGATGTGAAGGAATGTCTCTGTTTGCAGGCTGTGCTGTTGGCCGACATTCTTCCAACTCTCATCATCAAGCTTTTCGCTCCCTTTATGATCCACGTCGTACCGTACGGGTGAGACCAACATCCTCACTTCATCACATCAAGGTTTCTGAGAAAGCTTGAGATGTTTTAGAGTTCAGTCTGATGGGATGTAAAGGTTTTACTTTACTTTAGTCATCATAGATCTGCATCTTTTTAATATTTTTAATATTAGTGTTCAGAGTTGGAGGAAAAAAATCATTTTATAATAAGTGTGGATTTTTATTTTTAAAATATTTCCAGTTTCAGAGTTCTGTTCTGCGTTGCCATGGCAGCAACGAGTTTCCTGCTGGTGTCCTTTTCCTCTGCTGTGTGGATGAGTATTGTCGGTAAGTATTAGCGCTCCGACGCTTCTTGGTATGTGTGGCTAAACCGATCCTACGTGCAGATCTTAGATAAGGCACTTTTTTAAATATCTTTCCAGTATAAATGTTTTTCTTCTCATCTGTGTTTTCAAAGAAATGTGATAAAATCATCTGTTTTTATGTGGAAACGCGGCAGACATAATATCAAGATAAGTCTAGCGCCATCAGTCATCATAACTCTCGGATTTCTTTTTTGATATGCAGTTCTGAAAAGAAAGTTCTGTGAAAATGTTTGATCGAAGTTTATGAGAAGAGAGCGATTTGATCTGCATGCTGGCGTTGAACCATCAGAGTCCAGTAGCGGCACAACGATAATGACTCGTGTTCCCTCAGTGGGCTGCTGATATCACTGTTAAAACAGAGACGGGGGCCCGTCATGGTGCCTGGAGGCCTGGACAACATGCCAGTGCTGATGTCCCATTATTTGCATTTTGAACGGTTGCACCAAAAGGAAGACTGCAGGAGAATTTGGTACCAATTAAACTCACAGAAAAGGAAGAGAAGCTTTGCAGACCTCTGCAGCCTTCAGGGCTTCTCTCTAAATACACTCCTTCCTGTAACCCCACGCTTGTCTAAGGTATCCTGAACCACAGGGGCCCTTGCAGGGATTTATGTGGCTCTCAACTGCATTTTAATTTGAGCAGCCATCACTGGCAGTGGAACAGATGCAGAAGGTATTTTTCAGGAAAGTGTTGTGAGTATTTTATAACGACAAGCCTCAAAATCTTATAAACCTGAAGCATTTCTCTGTCACCAACCAATGCAGGCGCTGCTTCATTTTTTATGCTTTTACAAGTTTAGTTCTGATGCGCGGCTGAGGCCTCTTTGCTGCTCTGGCTGCGTGGTCGAAAAGTAGGTCTGATGCCTGTAACAATGGCAGCTATATTTGCTGCGATCAGTGGGTGAAAAGTAGTTTTATTTAAGTCCACCATAAAACTTCATCTGTGAAGTCAGTTCATCAACATCCTGCCTTCAAATGTAATTTCTCTGGCGGAGCCGCTCACACTGATCTGTCACTGAATCCTGTTCAACTGCAGCCTCTGGCCCGGTCGCCTCTTTGGGGTTTTCTGCTACTGTTGGCAGCGGCTGGAAGGCGTTTTTCAAGTACGTAATCCAAACTGCAGGCACCAGAATAATAGGGCTGCAACAACGAATCGATAAAATAGATAAAAATCGACTTGTAAAAGCGTTGGCAACGAATTTCATCATCGATTAGTTGTGTCGCGCGATTAATGCGTCATCCGCCGCCGTCGTCATTGCCGTGGGGCGCCTCCCCCATCCCAACCCCGTTCTCCCGCAGGAGTCCCTCTCAGCGCTGCAGTCAGAGCCGCAGTAAGTTTACCCTCAGCGTCCAGACTGCAAATGAAGCGCGCATGCGCCGGGATTGACGGCGCAAATTGATCACAATAATTAAAATAGCCTGCGCTTTGTAAAGCGAAAAAAGTCGTAACATGCAACTTTTGTAAAAACAAATTAACATGGCATGGAACCACCATGTTTGTTTCGTTTTAAAGGGGAAACGTAACGTTAGTTTCTCAGGTAGCTCATCTGATGCTTTCCTTACCGTGTTAGTAGGTTACAGACAGTGATAAGGTTGGCTACTTATTTTACTTTTAATTTCATTTGAATTAGCTTAAGCAGCGTTTATATTTTCTTTATAAATAAATTAACTTGCAAATTATGAGGGCAAGGCTTTTAAAGTTTAAATCTTCTGGCAAAGATAAAGTAAAGAAGATCCTGCAATTTATGGAAGTAAAGCAGAATAAAATCCAGCAAGATCAGTAATATGTCAATTAATTATCTGCCACATTCCCATGTAAATATCCGTCTTTGGAGGATGTGTTTTTTAGCACCCCTAGTTCTCTCATTTTTATTCCAAATACAATTTATAATTTGAATCACAGGGCTATTTTTATCTCTATGGTTCAGTATTTTCTCAAGTAGCAACTTTAACTGCTGTACTTTCCTGTCTTAAAAGGCAGAACTCTTCTAGTCTAAAAAAAACTCATTTGTTGAAATGGGGGGCCTATTGTTTGAACCCCTTAGGGGCTTTTAAAAACAAAAATGTCTTTTTTTTGCGCTTTATGAAACAAAGTAGCCTATATTTTGTGGATGTACAGCTACATTTCTCATGTAAGTTTGCGTAGTTTTAACACAAACATTTATTTTTCATATTGCACCAGTACAGTTAATGAGCAACCTGTACTTGTGTGCCTGTTTGTTCTGTCTAAAATGTTTATTTTGGAATAAAGAGGTTAATATAAAAAATATTTTTTGTCCGATTCATCGATTAATCGAAAAAATAATCGGCCGATTCATCGATTTTTAAAATAAATGTTAGTTGCAGCCCTACAGAATAATAACACCAACCATATTCTGCCGGCAGGTTTCTACATTTTAAGTTAATTTAGGCATTAATAAACTGTTTCAGAGGAGTGATCATAGCGCTCTGCATCACCAGTGCTGCGTCTGACTCCCTGCCAGCTCCCGGATCAGCTTCTCTGATTGGTTGATGAGGCGCGTCCAGCAGCTAAAGTTACATTCCTCCAACTCCAGCAGCTGCTGCTTGTAGGGTTGTCAAAAGTATCGAAACTCAAAAAAGTATCGATACCGAAATGTTGTATCCGGATACAATACTCGTTTTTAAAAGTATCGATACAGTGCCACCACCAGTGGCACCTAAGCAGTCATTTATTTAAAGTGCAGAATAGAGGACAATGCACTTTCAGAGCACTGTGTGATTAAATAATTCTGTGCACTTTTCAGTTTCAGACTTTTTTTTTGTAAGAACTGCAGCTGCTGAGAATTATTTTTGTTAACTGGTTTGGCTAGTTTCATTGTTATGTGTGCGAAGCATAGCCAAGTAAAGAACACTTAATTTTAATTTTATAAGTTTTTTATCAAGCTTGCTTAATATTGTGCACAGCATACAACCTTTATTGTATTTATTTATTGTATTTTATTTATTAAAGAAAATATTTCTGTAGAATTTTTGAGTCTTTGTTTTTATCCTGGTGGTATCGAAAATGGTATCGAATATTTTCCTTAGTATCGGTATCGAGTTGAAAAGTTTAGTATCGTGACAACCCTAGCTGCTTGTGAAGTGCGTCACACGCCTCAGATGCTCAGAAGCTAAAGATGCGCTGCTCCTGCTGCTCAAAATGCACCGCAGGACCTTTTGATGCGCCACAACCGTAGACTTTGCTTGTAAACCAGCAGCTTCTGCTGGCTGTAACATGTGGGGTGTGAACATAGCTGACGTTTGTATTGTAGGCACAAAATTATTGGACTTCCGATATAAACAAGGCAGCTTTTTTTTTTATTATTTCATCAAAGATTTTTGATTTTATGTAATACTTTATTATCCAGCTTAACCTTAATTGTTAGCTTAAATTTAACAAGGAAACTATCAAACTAAGCCTCTATTTCACCTTAAAGCACTACAGGGAACGCCTGCACTGTCAGGTGCTGGTAACAAGAATAAAAATAGGTTTTGTTTAACCTTAAAACTGATGAAACTGAGAGGCTCAGAAAACAGACTGAAGCAGAAAGGTGGCAAAGTTTCTATATAAAGATGTTTGATTCTTTTCTTATGTTAATAAAAGCTCTCTGTGTTCTTATAGGAGTGATATTTGCCAGTATCAGTGCTGGACTGGGAGAACTATCCTTCCTGTCTCTCAGTGTCTTCTTCGACAGGTAAAGCTACTTTTTTCCAAAAGTTACTCAGTCAATAATCTACTCAAGTTAGTGTTGAAGTACTCACTTTTGAAAATACGTACGTATTTAAACGTACATGCTTTTAAAAGTACTTTAATTAGATTAGATTAGATGAGCTTTATTGATCTCACAGCGGAGAAATTCACTCATTGATTGGCATAGCAATTAAAGAAGGTGCAAACAAGGAGGAAAATGGTGCATTAAGAATAAACAATATATATATACAGTATATCAAGATAAATAAATGATATTGGTATTCAAAAATACAAATTTAATCTTCTAATATCAGTACTTTTCTGTATAATTTTCAGAGTACTTTTAAAGAGCCTGAAACTTTCAGAAACTTCCTGATGTATTGATGCATAGAGCCTCTTACTATAGATACTACACCACCTGGAAAGAACTTCAGCATAAAAAGGACACAAAATATAAAGACAGCTGTTTGATTATTATTTCTTATTCAAAAATAAACCAAAAAGAAAACATGAAGATCTTGATTCTCCTAATTTTTTCACTGTGGAATAGAGGTTTAAGGTTGAATCTACGACCACAAAGAAACTATAACTCTGCTTTAAGACTCAGCCTACTGAGCAACTAACGCCTTAATAAAATGATAAACTACTAATAATATCTGCCTTGAGTTTCTCACTTTGTGGAACGTTATTAAAACTCTAAAAAGTGGCGTCCAGATTCAGTCCTAAGAGCTGCTATCTGCCTTGATGGAATTACATTTAAAGAAAGAAAAACAGCAACGGCAGATTACAAAGCTAAGCTGAGCCAAAAGGAAGAAAGAACTAGAAGCTTCCTCGACACGGAGTGGAGTAGAAAGTCATACATAACCCCCCCCCCCCCCAAAAAAAAAGCAGTCAAGTAAAGCTATTCAAAAAGTACTGAAATACAGTAATCAAGTAAATTTACTTTATTTTCTTGTAGCTACAGGCTGCAGGAATACATGTGATTATGTTGCTAACGAATAACTGTTAACTAATGAAGCTAATGCTTCACATACTTTCAACATCCTAAAAGAATACAGCAAATTCAGCAATAATTAAGACAAACTACAAAAATATAATCATTATCCGTTTAAGATGGAAAACTCTTCTTTATATGTGTTTATAAGTGTGTACATAATCATGTTTTTAACATGTTTTTGCTGTTAATAATAAAAAATATCTAAATAGTTATTGGATTATGAAATAAATGGTTGGTGCAGCTTTAGTGAAAAGTTATTTATGATTTTAATCTTAACAACAATGTTCTTATGTTGCATCTTGCTTCATCTGCAGTTTAGTTTGAGTGAATTAATTACTAAAGCAGGATGTTTTCATGTCTTCCTACATTCCTGAAGATAAATACACCATTTCCATAGAGAGCCATTTAATTAACCAGTATTTAATGCTGTATCACCTGTTCTCTGCTGTGTGTAGGTTTGGTTACAATGTTAATTTTTAAGGATATTTTATATAAACTTTCATATATAAAGATTCCAACATGAAGAGGTTAAAAAAGAAAGATTCTTTATCTAAAGCAACTTCCTGATGCAGATCAACAGAGTTTTAAGCAACAGCGCCAACAGCATCTGCATTAAAATGTCCTCAATTAGTGAGATAATATATATCTTTAGTGGATTTATCATATAATTTCATACCCTAATACAAGATTGATTTCTTAACCTGGATATTAAAGCTGCCAGGTCTATAAAATAAAGTGTTTGTTTACAATATTTGGCTAAATGTTTTATGACATTTTTAGTGCTTATTTGTTTTTAGAGAGCAAAGTACCGCAGCTGATTTTAAAAATTAGAGAAGCAATTACTGCAGCATTTTACTGAATTAAGACACTCAAATAATCAAAAAGCAAACATTGTTTAATTAAAAACACTCTCTAACACTAACTAGCTCAATTTAAAATGCTAAGATGATAAAAAGATTCTCTGGGCAAAATACACAATTATTAAATAATTAACATTTAGAGAAAGTCGTTTTCTCAGATGGCTAATATCACTAATTAGCATAATTTCCAAACTTACTCTAATTAAAGGTGCAATGTTGACCTTGAATCTTTTGTACTACTGGGCATAAATTAAGGCATTAAGATGTTAAACTGCAGATAAGACACTTTATTTTAGAACATTTCTGAATAAATGGAGGGAGACTATCTTGGTCTTTAAATGACAAACTGTTCAATTGAGAGAGAAATCCAGAAGATCCTCTCATTTTGGCTTTGAAGATGATATTTGGCCTACAGGCAGAGCGCTTTGAATGAAAGATTAAAACCCAAAATACACCAAGCGGCCGCGGCTGCATCATGCTGTGGGATCATTTCCCTCTGCTTGAACTATTTTTTAAGTTCAATTCAGTTTATTTCTATAGCGCCAATTCACAACCCATGTCATCTCAAGGCCCTTTCCAGTTCACCAGATCATACAGTCAAATTGATTCAAAGTTTTCTATCTAAGGAAAACGATTTCATCGACTCATTGACTCTTCAGCAATCCCTCACACTAAGCATGCTTGTAGCGACAGTGGAGAGGAAAAACTCCCTTTTAACAGGAAAAAACTTCCAGCAGAACCAGGCTCAAGGTGTTGATGGCAGCAGCACAGCTGATATTTCTTTCCAGGATGGAGTCACAGCCAAACAGGAACAGACCAGATGAAGCTACTATGAGAAAAGGCAGAGAGAGCAGAACGTTAGAGATTGAACTAACAGATTCTGCAGAGTGGGAGAATAGAGATAGAATGAAGCAGAAAGATGAAAAAGGGGTCCCTATGTCCTCCAGCAGTCTAAGCCTATAGCAGCAGAACTATAGAGATAGCTCAGGATAACCTGAGCCACTCTAACTATAAGCTTTATCAAAAAGGAAAGTTTTAAGCCTAGCCTTAAAAGTAGACAGGGTGTCTGCCTCACGGACTAAAACTGGTAGTTGGTTCCACAGGAGAGGAGCCTGATAACTAAAAGATCTGCCTCCCATTCTACTTTTAGAAATTCTAGGAACCACTAGTAAACCTGAAGATTGAGAGCGAAGTGCTCTGTTAGGAACATAAGGAACAATCAGATCTCTGATATCAGATGGAGCTTGGCCATTTAAGGCTTTATATGTGAGAAGGAGGATTTTAAATTCTATTCTGGATTTAACAGGAAGCCAATGAAGAGAAGCCAGGATAGGCGAGATATGATCTTTCTTTTTCATTTTCATCAGAACTCTGGCTGCAGCATTTTTGGATCAGCTGAAGGCTTTTAACTACAGTTTGTGGACTTCCTGATAGTAATGAATTACAATAGTCCAGCCTTGAAGTAACAAATGCATGGACTAGTTTCTCAGCATCACCCCTGGACAGGAGATTTCTCAGTTTTAGCAATATTCCTCAGATGAAAGAAGGAAATTCTAGAAACCTCTTTGATATGGGATTTAAATGACAGGTCCTGATCAAAAACAACACCAAGATTTTTTACTTTATTCAGAAATCAGTTTAATCCCATCCAAATGAAGTGACTGGCTAATCAGCTTCTTTTTCAAAGACTCTGGTCCAAAGACTATAACTTCTGTTTTATCTGCATTCAGAAGCAGAAAGTTAAGAGTCATCCAGGTTTTTATGTCTTCAAGACATGCCTGTAATCTATGTAATGGGTTAGCTTCATCTGGATTATAGACAGATATAGCTGGGTATCATCAGCATAACAGTGGAAATTAATCCCATGCTGTCTAATAATAGAACAAGGAAGCAGGTCAGAGCTGATGAGGATGGGGAATGGAGCTAAATGGTCAAACCTACAGCGAAACATAACAATAAGAAGAAGATGTTGGTTTCTGGGGGAGATGGGTAATCCCACCAATTCATGAAGAAGAATTTTTAAGTTGCCATAGAAAATCAGAGGATGTTGGTATGTTGAAGCAAAATTAAAAGCCATTGACTTACCCCCAGATTCCACATCTGGTATTCATCGGGTAAAACTGTCGTCAAGCTTCATTTCATGGGCATTTAGCATTAGCAGCATCAGTTAAAGCTGCCCCCCTCAGGCACATCGCTTCTCCTGAGGGGGGCAGCAATGCGCCCGGAGGCGCCCGGCCTGCATAAAAAGATGTCTTTGATCGCGGTATTAACCTAGCTGCTGTTTACCACCCTCCCCCCCAAAAAAAGGATAATCATGAAGAAAAAAGAGAGAAAGTCAGAATGTTTCTGGTGGCAGCAGATTGAGCGTCATGTCTGCTAGGAAGTGTGTTGGTGGTGGGCGTGAACGCAGGGAGGATCCATCACTCACCTTCTGGCTCACCCTATGATGGGGATGAAGTCTGGAGGAGAACTGACGCTTTCCTCCTGTGAACCCCCTTTATACCAAAACGCTGCCAATACGCCATTATACAGTAGCTGGAAGTTAGAAACACGTTCAGCGCTCGTCTGGAACACGTCAGATACGATGATATGCATTGGAGATTTCCATTTTTAAGGGATATGCAAGTGATCAAAAACAGTTCCTGGCCCTATAAAGGTTTAAAAGGTTCAAGGGGTGTGAATACTTCTGGAACTCTGTATCATATCACCTTTACAGAGTTCTGTGTTTGATTTGGGTTCAGTTTGACCGCTCTGCTTCCTCTCTTTAGGAATGTTTTGGAAGGCTGGGGCTCTGGGACTGGTGCTGCTGGTGTTGCTGGTTCCCTCCTTTACTCCGGCCTCATCCAGGCAGGTGTCTCACCCCAGATCACTCTCCTCATCATGCTGGTTGTCCCGCTTGTCATGTTTGCTAGGTAAGTGATGAGTAAAAAATGTTTTACCTCCATAGCAGCTCTTCCTTCACTCTGTGACCTTTGAATCATTTCTATTTAGTGGAATCTGCTGCCATGAGCAGGTGATTGATGCATGTGACTAAATATTACATTAGCATTTAAAAATACAAGCTTTTAACCGTCATTTCTCTAAAGTTCTTTCCTGTATAAGTAGTGCACACACTGACATAGAAAAGATTATTTATTTGCTAAATGTAGTGCAGCCCTACATCTGAGTAATAATCCATAATTAGAGAGAACACATCCTTATAGATTAAAGACGTCGACATCAGTGGATGTTTTACTGCTCTTTCCGTCTGCTATTCGTTATGATTTGTTAGTTAAAGGAAAAGTCCGGTCAGCAAGAAATAATCAATGGATCATTATTTATACCTAAAACAAATACGCTTGCGGTGAGTTAATTAATTTAGCACTAATCAGTAAAAAAATAAAAAAATAAATTTTCATGGCGATCACTGAGTCTGGGAGCGGCCATTTTTGCCCAAATATAGTAGCCCCTCCCTCCTGCCATCTTCCAGCAGTGACGTCACGGTGCGCTAAGCCTAGCGCCATTCTCCCCGCTTTACAAGCTAAATCAATGGGAACTACTAGACACATCTGCAATCAACAACAATTATTGAAGATTTCCAGAGGACTTCACCATTGAAATTCACCAGAGCTACAGTGAAACTGACAATGCCCACGTGCATGGCAGCTGGATGCTGGAATACATCGGGAAAAGTGAAAAAAAGAGTTATTCCACCTTTCTGATTCCTGATCCTCCACGGACGGGTTGGTCGTTGGATCGCCAACTTGAAGAGGGAGGATTTGCCATCGAACTTCTGGCCAGAGAAAAAACCCGTAATATGTAGCCAACATTTGGAAGAAGAATGTTTTCAAGATGACTTGGATAATAGCGCGTTGTGACAAACACCAGATACAGCACTGGGACTTGATCAACAGCCGATACCGCACCGTGACGTCACTAACCAGTAGGTGGCAGTAGTGTTCTTTGACAAACATGGATGCCTCCAGTAAAGCACATTCACATGAAAATTACCCTGAATTAAAAACACTTATTTATTGAACAGGATGGAATAATTTCATTCTTAAAGTACTTTAAAAAGTTTTAATTCTGAATGTGAGCGGACTTTTCCACATATAGAGATACATTAAAAGGATTTAGATCAAAGCAAACAAACTTCAGTCTAACTGATAAACTGAAAAAGCTTCAGATGTTTTATGAAAAACACATGAAATAGTTCTGTTCCTAGCAGAACAGGTAGACCCATCCTTAAAACCTGCAGCAGTGAAAGGAGCTTCTATCAGGGGTGGATATGAAAGGACTCAACACCTCTTCAAACATTTTGAAAAGGTCCCACTATCAATGTTTCTTCTCTGGCTCCATCACCAGCTACTTCTACCTCCTGACTCCGGTACCTTCTCTGCCTCAGTGGAGGAGGTCAGAGACGGAGCACCCAGCTGAGGATTCCCCGGAGCAAGAGCGACTGATAAAGGAATCCGAGGATGAGGAACGGGAGACATCAGCCTCTGGTGAATGTCCCAAACTCACAGCGGCCTGCGTTGCACCAAAAGTCCGGATTTCTAGAAATGTTGGGCGATGTTGTAACTCTGTCGCTTCATCTCTTATCAGTTTTAGCTCATTATTTAGTGTCATGTTCTAAAGCACTGGCACATTTTCTGTTGGTGTTATTTCCCAATATGTCAGTGTTTCTATTTATGGAGGGATCACTGTAGATTTTCAGTTTGATTAGATGATAGGATTACCGGCAGTTAACCGCTAAAACTCACGCTTCATGTCGTGTGGCGTTTCGTATCTGTCTCTAATTTCTTAGAGAAATGATGATGAAAATCTGCAGGGTTTTTTTGAATCACTATTAAATATTAAGTTTATTTCTAGATACTAATTTGAGTCGTTTGCAGAATATTACTAGTAAGTGGGACAGATTGATGGTTCATCTATCCAGGGTTACTAAAACGTTTACCTGGTAAGATCTAAGCAGAGTTTTTAAATATGCTGGTGAAGATTCTCAGTCATCAGGGTCAGAGTCATTCCAAAAAAGTTAAAATAATCCCCTGGACTTTGTTTCCAAGTTTGAAGAAGTTTATCTTCCCATCCAGAAAATTTTTCATTTCAAAATGTCAGAAATAGCGTTGAGTTCCAGGCTTTATAGAGTGGACCAAAAACAAAGCCTTGTTTTTGTTTAGAAAACATGCAAATTGAAACGGACGAAGGGGTCCACCCCTATGGAGTGGGGGTCAGTCATCAAGAGCTACTATCCTGCAACTATCTGATGCAACCATTTTTAACACACCTGAATCAAATGAGTAGCTAGAAATCCCACATCAAAGAGGTTTCTAGAATTTCCTTCTTTCATCTGAGGAACATTGCAAAAATTAGAAATATCCTGTCCAGGGGTGTTGCTGAGAAACTAGTCCATGCATTTGTTACTTCAAGGCTGGACTATTGTAATTCTTTACTATCAGGAAGTCCACAAACTGTAGTTAAAAGCCTTCAGCTGATCCAAAATGCTGCAGCCAGAGTTCTGATGAAAATGAAAAAGAAAGATCATATCTCGCCTATCCTGGCTTCTCTTCATTGGCTTCCTGTTAAATCAAGAATAGAATTTAAAATCCTCCTTCTCACATATAAAGCCTTAAATGGCCAAGCTCCATCTTATATCAGAGATCTGATTGTTCCTTATGTTCCTAACAGAGCACTTCACTCTCAATCTGCAGGTTTACTAATCGTTCCTAGAATTTCTAAAAGTAGAATGGGAGGCCGGTCTTTTAGTTATCAGGCTCCTCTCCTGTGGAACCAACTACCAGTTTTAGTCCGTGAGGCAGACACCCTGTCTACTTTTAAGGCTAGGCTTAAAACTTTCCTTTTTGATAAAGCTTATAGTTAGAGTGGCTCAGGTTATCCTGAGCTATCTCTATAGTTATGCTGCTATAGGCTTAGACTTTTGGAGGACATAGGGACCCCTTTTTCATCATTCTGCTTCATTCTCTCTCTGTTCTCCTATTCTGCAGAATCTGTTAGTTCAATTCAATTCAATTCAGTTTATTTATATAGCGCCAAATTCACAACACATGTCATCTCAAGGCACTTTACAGTTCAACCAGATCATACAGTCAAATTGATACAAAGTTTTCTATCTAAGGAAAACCAGTTGATTGCATTGACTCATTGACTCAAATACAATCCCCCACACTAAGCATGCTTGTAGCGACAGTGGAGAGGAAAAACTCCCTTTTAACAGGAAGAAACCTCCAGCAGAACCAGGCTCAGTGTGAGCGGCCATCTGCCGAGGCCGACTGGGGTTCAAGGAGACAGAAGCAGAGATACAAAAAGCAGCTGTAACCTTCAATCTCTAACCTTCTGCTCTCTCTGCTTTTCCTCATAGTAGCTTCATCTGGTCTGTTCCTGTTTGGCTGTGACTCCATCCTGGAAAGAAACATCAGCTGTGCTGCTTCCATCAACACCCTTGTTTATAGATGTTGGAGATCGGCCTGTTTTCCAGTGTAGTCCTGTTTCTCTGACCGTGACTGGCTGGATGTGCTCTCTTCGTCCTCTGGCATGGGAGCTGCCTTGGAGCTCGTCTGCCTGGCTGTGTGTTTCCTGGACGGGGCCGCCTTTTACAGCTGCTTTTTGTATCTCTGCTTCTGTCTCCTTGAACCCCAGTCGGCCTCGGCAGATGGCCGCTCACACTGAGCCTGGTTCTGCTGGAGGTTTCTTCCTGTTAAAAGGGAGTTTTTCCTCTCCACTGTCGCTACAAGCATGCTTAGTGTGAGGGATTGTATTTGAGTCGATGCAATCAACTGGTTTTCCTTAGATAGAAAACTTTGTATCGATTTGACTGTATGATCTGGTTGAACTGTAAAGTGCCTTGAGATGACATGTGTTGTGAATTTGGCGCTATATAAATAAACTGAATTGAATTGAATAGCTTGTTACCACGCCTCTGCTGAGCTAAATGAGGGGATTGAGGATTTGGATGCAGGTGTGCTAGAGAGGAGATGCATCTAAAAGTTACAGGATGGTAGCTCCTAAGGACTGGACTTGAGCAGCCCTGATCTAGAGGATGCATGTAAAAGTTAATCATATTTTCTTAGAATTAAGAAAATTAGTATAAATCAACACGGTGGATAGAAACAAAAAGGATGCCAAGAATAACATGATTCCCTTTCTGGATTGTGTGGAGGCATCACTGGAACACAAACTGTTATCAGATCTCTGAGTTACCGGGCTGACGATATTCCCTCAGTTAGAGACTCTTTACTATATATATATATATATATATATATATATATATATATATATATATACATACAGTGGGGCAAAAAAGTATTTAGTCAGCCACCAATAGTGCAAGTTCTCCCACTCAAAAAGATGAGAGAGGCCGGTAATTTTCATCATAGATATACCTCAACTATGAGAGACAAAATGAGAAAAAAAAATCCAGAAAATCACATTGTCTGATTTTTAAAGAATTTATTTGGAAAATATGGTGGAAAATAAGTATTTGGTCAATAACAAAAGTTCATCTCAATACTTTGTTATATACCCTTTGTTGGCAATGACAGAGATCAAATGTTTTCTATAAGTCTTCACAAGGTTTTCACACACTGTTGCTGGTATTTTGGCCCATTCCTTCATGCAGATCTCCTCTAGAGCAGTGATGTTCTGGGGCTGTCGCTGGGCAACACGGACTTTCAACTCCCTCCAAAGATTTTCTATGGGGTTGAGATCTGGAGACTGGCTAGGCCACTCCAGGACCTTGGAATGCTTCTTACGAAGCCACTCCTTCGTTACCCGGGCGGTGTGTTTGGGATCATTGTCATGCTGAAAGACCCAGCCACGTTTCATCTCCAATGCTCTTGCTGATGGAAGTAGGTTTTCACTCAAAATTTGACGATACATGGCCCCATTCATTCTTTCCTTCACACGGATCAGTCGTCCTGGTCCCTTAGCAGAAAAACAGCCCCAAAGCATGATGTTTTCACCCCATATATATATATATATATATATGTGTGTGTGTGTGTGTATATATGTATATATTGCAGATTTCTGGCCGATCATCAATCTTTAAATAGGTGGACATAGAATTGTTATAAGGTCACAAATCACCTTCAGTATTTCAATCTTTACCTGTTAATCAATAAAAATATACTTAGATAACTGCTCTCAAATATGAATCAAATTGTAAAGAATTAACAGTGGGTGATTTTCAATCCAGTTCACTTCATTTCTATAGCGCCAATTCACAACAGATGTCATCTCAAGACCCTTCACAGACAGTAATGTTAGATTGGTTAAAAGTTGCATCGAGGAAAAAGAGAGGGTAAAAAATATTAGATTTGCGTCGCTTCAGGATGCTGTGTGAACGTAGCCTAAGTATTGGCTCATATAGGCATGATGTACCGCTTTCCCACTGGCTGAAAACCAGTTTAAACTGAGAAACAATAGGATTTTAGTGGCAGTGGGAACAGCTCACTGACGCGTGTCTACCCAGGTCAAACGACTCAGCTTTTGTTGGAACAAAAGAGCCGGGTTGACTCGCTAATTTATGTGATACCATTGAACTCAACATACGGATGTCAACACACCGGCCCTTTCCCTTCTGATCTAACAAGCAGAAACAACTCTGTTTGCATTCAATAAACATGGAGCAGCTCCGATGAGAAGGATTTGGACAGATGATAGAACGAAACAATACTGACTACACACTGACTACACCCTGGCTTCCTTCCATATTGCTCTCCATTGTTTACTCTCCTGATTTCTGTCCCACTGGTGACATCACCAACAAAAACCCAGCGTGATGGTGTCACCAGATATGCAGCTTTTTGTTTTTTTAAACAACGCTAATGTCTCGATTTTATGACAGCAGGCTGACAGGAAAGGGGGAATGAGAGAGGGGGAGACATGCGGCAAAGGACCACAGACTGGATTCGCACCCGGGTCAGCCGCGTCGAGGACTAAGGCCTCTGTACATGGGTCATGCACGCTAACCACTGGGTCACCTGCACGCCCAAGACCAGCTTTTTTAGCCAGTGGGAAGGGAGCCAAATGCCGATAGTTAGCGGGTCGACTCATGTTTGAAAAACATGTGTTTACGCGCTATGTTCAGTAGGAAAGAAGCTTTAATAGTTCAGATTCCTTTCATGTCAAATTGTGGACCTGTCAACATTTACAAAAGTTACTTAGAAAACATGTTTTTCAGTAAAAAGTTGTAGCTGTGTGCTCTAAAGTCTGTGATGAAATCCTTTTGAACAGATATGAAGTAAATGAACGGGCCAAAATATCTCTCCTGGTCACTCAGGCTAACAAAGACCTCAACAACTCCCCACTTAGTGGTGGACGTGTTCTTCCAATGTTCCATCAATACCCGTTTATCCCTTTAGTTTATCCCATTTATCCCTTTAGTTTATCCTGTTTAGCCTTTGGTTTTTTGTACAAAAAAAAACTTAAAACTACCTCAACAGGTGTGTATCCCTTTAGTCATGCACAGAAAAACTATTCAATTACTTCGTTTTCAGTGTTTTTTGAAGCATAGGGCGACCTGACCGTAATTTTTTTTTTTTTTATACATGAATAGAGGGATACACGCCCGTTGAGATAGTTTAAATTGTTTTTTTTTTTTGTACAAAACTAAAGGGCTAAATGGGATAAACTAAAGGGATAAACGTGACTAGCATACGCTTATGCAAATCTGACGTCTTACGCAGGCATATTGACTATTGGTATGTTACTCTGATGGGGTATGCCCATCTGATAGAACAACGGTATAATTTGTTTTCTAAGCAATAACAAGGCGTTGTTGGTCCACTATATAAAGCCTGGAACTCAATGCTAATTCTGACATTTTGAATTGAAAAAGCTTCCTGGATGGGAAGCGAAACGCTACATATAGAAACAAATACAGTAAAAACAATCCCTACAAAAAAAGAGAAAAAAAATCCCATTCAACCCACCCAGGTCACTACCAAGAGGACAACGCACTACTTTCCTATCCCTGACTGACACAGAACACATTTTATTGAATCTTTTTTCTGAATTTTTTTTTTATCTGGAGCATTATTGTAAGTTTTAGAATGAGTCAAGAAAGGGCCCCCATATCTCTTCAAATTTACCAGTTGAATGTTGGATAGAACATTCCAGTTTCAGACATGACATGAGGTCACATAACCACTGTTTGTGAGTTGGAGGAGCCGCACCCTTCGACCTGGTTAGAACTGTGCGCCTCGCTAACAGTGAACAGAATGCCAGTACCTGCCGTTTAGAGGTTGGTAAAGGCGACCCCTCACCACTAAAACCAAACGGAGCCAGAAGAGCGCCAGGTGTTATCAGCACTCCCGCCAACTCGGACATTGTATGAAAAACATCTGTCCAGAAATGACCAAGAGGGGGCAGGACCAGTACATATGGACCAGTGTGGCTACAGCAGTTTTGCATTTATCGCAGTAACTCCTGGATAGAAACGGGATAGTTTATATTTGGAGAGGTGGGCTCTATGTACTATTTTAAACTGAACGAGGCAATGGCGTGCGCACACAGAGATGACGTATTCACCAGTTTCCCAGAGTCCCATGTCTGATCCGGTATGGTCGTAATCAAGTCCTCTTCCCATGAGGCTTTAAGTTTAAGTAAGGAGGTCTCTTTCATTGTGAACATTTTGTTATAAAGCCATGCAACCAGCCCTTTAGAAGTTGGGTTCAATGATAGGATGGTTTCCAACAGTGTATGCTCTGGCAGAGAGATTGAGCCTGACAAGTGAGACTGAATAAAGTTTCTGGTTTGTAAATATCTAAAAAAAAAATGGGATTTAGGTAAACCATATTTTTTTGCTAAGTTCCTCAAAGGATTCCAATTTTTTCCCAATGAAAGAGTCCTTAAAGTAAGTAAGTCCCTTCTGCTGCCACTCTAGAAACACCCCATCCTGAACAGATGGTTTAAAAAAATGGTTAATTAAGAAGGAGAAATCATGGAGTTTAAAGTATTTCCTAAACTGGCCCCATATTTTCAGCGAGTGTTTCACTACTTGGTTTAAAGTAGGGTTAGATGCTGAGAGTGAGAGTGGGGAACACAGCACGGCCGGGAAGGACAAATTGTTACCACTGCGTAGCTCCATAGCCACCCAGTCAGGACAGCCCCCCCTGATTATGATAGAAATACCAAAACACTAGGCATCTAAGATTGGCAGCCCAGTGATAGAACGGAAAATTGGGGAGTCCTTGCTGTGTTGGTTTTTGGAGTTGTAATTTATTAAGCCTTGGGCATTTACCCTGCCAGATAAAAGATGAAAAAGTTGAGTCTAGCTCATTAAAAAAAGTATTAGGAATACAAATAGGTAATGCCTGAAAAAGGTATAGAAATTTGGGCAGTATATTCATTTTAATTGAGTTGATACGTCCCACAAGGGAAATGGAAAGGGGTGTCCACTTTGTGAGGGATTCCTTTACTTGGTTCAACAGCTTAATCACATTCTCATTAAACAAATTTTTATGCTTTTTTTTCACTGTGATACCAAGGTATATATTTTTTTGTCTTTCAATACTAAATGGCAGGTTCAGTGAATTGTTTTTGAACTTTTTTGGAATAACTATGAAATGGATCACAGTGAATCTTCACCAGCATATGATGTAACTGCTTTAAAAGCTAAAATCAAGATTTAAAAAATAAATGAAATGTTAGTCATAGTTTTTGGCTCTGCTGATAGATTTTTGTACACTTGGTGCGCAGCAAATATCTTAGTAGTTTACGTTTGCTTTGTTTGTTACTGAATAACTACACAGGCCGTATTCTCTTCCCATTGAATGTAGCAGAGGACAGGAGCACGGGGCCCCTTACCCTGAAGGAGAAGGGCCGCGTCATCAAGGTTAGCAGCTTTCTCTCATGATTGATCCATCCTCACCCTCAGCTTTCACTGACTCTGCTCATCATTCCTGTGAGCAGGGCTTATGGCCGTTCGTCCTTCCACTGGGTCTGGTCTACTTTGCTGAGTACTTCATCAACCAAGGCTTGGTAAGCTCTTCGGCGCCCTCTAGCCTCACACCTGATTAACTGCACTCTGTCATTATGTGTAAAATGTTTTCAGATTTAGCCATCATGGAGAACTGGGGATTTATTTAAAGACAAAGTTACTATAAACATTAATGATTAGAGAATGAAATAAAATATATTTTATGCTATTTTGCAGATGGAGCTCCTGTTTTTTCACAACTTTTTCCTTTCACATGCAGAGCAGTATCGCTGGTTAGTGAGTTTCTTCAATTTTTAAAAATGTTTTACTTTAGGTCTGCTTTTACACTGCAAAAAAAATATCTAAAAATAAGTAAAAATCTCTTTATAAAGTGTATTTGCCCTTGATTCAAGCAGGTAACTAAGAGTTTTTTTTTTTCTTTTCTTAAATCTATGGAGCTCTAGAACTGACATGGGAGAAAAAAAAGAGATACAGCATGCGCACGAAATTCTAAATTGTTCCCATAAAATTACTAATTTGTTCTCAAGACTCATTTGTGGCAACAAAATATATAGAAGTAGTGCACAAAACACTATAACATAATCTTCGTACACCTTCACAAAGGAACTAATCGTGATATAATATAATTTTAGGAGCCAGGTTGCTTCACAGGCAGACGTACAACTTGGATGCTAGGATATATTTTATTGTTGACCAACTGCAAGGTTCTGGAAAGGACCACAGTTATCAGTGGATGTATGCTTAGTGAGTACAGCATGGTAGACGTGGCGTCTAGCTTATCCAAAACCTATGCGTAACTTATTAAGAACGTATGCATAACTTCTCTCCGACGCATATCAGCGTTTAAAGTATGCCAGCGTCTGCCATCCGTGGTCCATCAGTTCCAGGTCAGCTATCTGATGGTCGACATCCGTTCAGTGTCAGTTCCTCATCAGTCGTGGCGTCTAGCTGATCCTAAACCTCTGAGTAACTTGAGCATAACTTCTGCGTAACTTATAATACACAGAGTTCCAGAAGTATTCACACCCCTTTGAACCTTTTTAACCTTTATAGGGCCAGGAACTGTTTTTGATCACTTGCATATCCCTTACAAATAGAAATCTCCAACGCATATCAAGGTATCTGATGTGTTCCAGAGGAGCGCTGAACGTGTTTCTAACTTCCAGCTACTGTATAATGGCGTATTGGCAGCGTTTTGGTATAAAGGGGGTTCACAGGAGGAACGCCTGTCAAAGAGGACGTTAGGATCCTCCTCTCTCTGCTGGACCTTAATTGTTTTTAAAATTCTATACAAATAATTCTCACTAATGAGATTTCCTTGTAACATCAAACTTCTTAGGATGTCTTTGTAAGACTACAAAGTTGATTGTTCCAACAAATTAGACAGGGGATCAGGCTGTCTCTGTCCATCATGTTTAGTTCCTTTGAGAAGGTGTTCTGTGTGTAGAAAGATTAAGTTTTAGTATTGTGTGCCCTATTTATATATATTTTCTGGTCTTTTATTTCTGTTTGAGTTTTTATGGCACTAGTAGCCCAGAGACATTCAAGAAAGGACGACAGGCCAGATTCGAACCCAGGTCACCCGCGTTGAAGACTAAGGCCTGCATACATCGGTCGTCTACACTAACCACTGCGCCACCAAATAATACGGAACAAATATTTTATGCGCACACTGTATCTCTTTTTCCTCCCATGTCAGTTCTGGGGCTCCGTATAAATCATTTTATCGTTGGTAAACTGTATTACTCACCTGCTCAAAACAAGGGATAAGAATATTCTTATATATAAGAATAAAATAATATTTCATCCTTGCAGTATCTTCAGCTTGAAGGTTCTCCTTGTTCATTATATCTCCGTGCTCCCAGGTACCAGACCCTGTATCAGGTCGGTGTGCTGGTGTCCCGATCCTCTCTGCGCTGCTTTAAGTTCAGGAGAGTGTGGATTTTCTCTTTACTGCAGGTAAGAAATGTAAGAAATGGACCATTACTGAAAAGGTTCATGTAGTAACTTCTACATAAAAAGATTAAAAATTATAATTCCTAATAAACAACAAGGTGCAGGATCATTGTCAACAATGCGTGAAGGTGCTGCAAAATGACAGCAGGCAGAACAGAGTCCTCCTGCTCAGATCTGTGGCTTTTCTTTATTAGTTAAAGAAATGTTATTGACTACACTGCGAAAAAAATTAAGAAGTAAGTAAAAAAAAAATCTTAAACTAAGTGTGTTTACCCTTAATTTGAGGAGGTAAATAAGATGATCTGCCAATGGAATAAGTATTTTTACTTTCAAAATAAGATAATTAGATAAAATGTACTTGAAAAGAGACGATGCAATTGTTTTTCTTCAATTCAAGAAGAAAAGCACCTATTTAGATTTCTATTCTTTTGCAGTGTAGAGTTTTCTTCTAGTCAAAATTAAACTGCAATGGAAACAAAAGATGCACAACAGAGAGCATAGCTGCAGTCAGAGGATTTGTGTTTCTGGTTTCATAGCAGTAAATTAGACGCACAAGCATCATTTCATGGGCATTATGAAGCATCAGTTAAAGCTTCTCTCCTGAACCACAGCGATGCGCCCGGTCTGCAGAAAAAGATGTTACTGATCCTGGTATTAACCTCGCTGCTGTTTACCGCCCACCAAAATAAAATAATAAATAAGAAGGAAAAACAAAAAAAAGTGTGTTGGTGGTGGGCGTGAACGCAGGGAGGATCCATCGTCCTCACCTTCTGACTCACCCTATGATGGGGATGAAGTCTGGAGCAGAACTGAAGGTTTCCTCCTGTGAACCCCCTTTATACCAAAACGCTGCCAATACGCCATTATACAGTAGCTGGAAGTTAGAAACACGTTCAGCGCTCGTCTGGAACACGACAGATACGATGATATGCGTTGGAGATTTCTATTTGTAAGGGATATGCAAGTGATCAAAAACAGTTCCTGGCCCTATAAAGGTTAAAAAGGTTCAAAGGGGTGTGAATACTTCTGGAACTCTGTGTATTATAAGTTACGCAGAAGTTATGCTCAAGTTACTCAGAGGTTTAGGATCAGCTAGACGCCACGACTGATGAGGAACTGACACTGAACGGATGTCGACCATCAGATAGCTGACCTGGAACTGATGGACCACGGATGGCAGACGCTGGCATACTTCCAGTCCAGTCCAGCAGATGTCGCTGTGGATGTGTTGACACCCGCTGCTTTGTGTCACAAGCATTTCCGGCAGCGGGATACTGAGACGAGTCATACGAAATAAAACATGGAGGACACTGAGAAAATTCGCCCCGCGGCTCCATCACATTTCAAGTCAGATGCTTGGATGCATTTTGGCTTTAAAAACAAAGAAGGTAAAAACTAAATTGATATGATGCACGTCATTTGCAAAAGGGGAAATATACATTTGAATGTTTTCGTTTCATTGGTTTAAAGGACCACTGAGGCCATGTAAACGGCACTGATTATCCTTATTTTGTTATTTTAAGTTTGATGAATCCTAAGATCTTTTTGTCAGTGTGTCCACGCCAGTAATAGTAATATTTGTGTCCAGTATTTGTTTCCATGGCAACACCTCCAAAAGTCGTTTCAATACAGGTGCTGGTCATAAAATTAGAATATCATGAAAAAGTAGATTGATTTCAGTAATTCCATTTAAAAAGTGAAACTTGTATATTATATTCATACATTACATACAAACTCATATATTTCAGATGTTTATTTTGTTTAATTTTGATGATTACAAATGACAACAAATGAAAATCTCAAATTCATCATATCAGAAAATTAGAATATTGTGAAAAGGTTCAAAATTGATGGCCCCTGGTGCCACACTCTAATCAGCTAATTAACTCAAACCACCTGCAAAAGCCTTTAAATGGTCTTTCAGTCTAGTTCTATAGGCTACACAATCATGGGGAAGACTGCTGACTTGACAGTTGTCCAAAAGACGACCATCGACACCTTGCACAAGGAGGGCAAGACACAAAAGGTCATCGCTAAAGAGGCTGGCTGTTCACAGAGCTCAGTGTCCAAGCACATTAATAGAGAGGCGAAGGGAAGGAAAAGATGTGGTCGAAAAAAGTGTACAAGCAAGAGAGATAACCGCACCCTGGAGAGGATTGTGAAACAAAACCCATTCAAAAATGTGGGGGAGATTCACAAAGAGTGGACTGCAGCTGGAGTGAGTGCTTCAAGAACCACCACACACAGACGTATGAAAGACATGGGTTTCTGCTGTCGCATTCCTTGTGTCAAGCCACTCTTGAACCACAGACAGCGTCAGAAGCGTCTTGCCTGGGCTAAAGAGAAACAGGACTGGACTGCTGGTGAGTGGTCCAAAGTCATGTTCTCTGATGAAAGTAAATTTTGCATTTCCTTTGGAAATCAAGGTCCCAGAGTCTGGAGGAAAAGAAGAGAGGCACTTCATCCACGTTGCTTGAAGTCCAGTGTAAAGTTTCCACAGTCAGTGATGGTTTGGGGTGCCATGTCATCTGCTGGTGTTGGTCCATTGTGTTTTCTGAGGTCCAGGGTCAACGCAGCCACATACCAGGAAGTTTTAGAGCACTTCATGCTTCCTGCAGCTGACCAACTTTTTGGAGATGCAGATTTCATTTTCCAACAGGACTTGGCACCTGCACACAGTGCCAAAGCTACCAGTACCTGGTTGAAGGACCATGGTATCCCTGTTCTTAATTGGCCAGCAAACTCTCCTGACCTTAACCCCATAGAAAATCTATGGGGTATTGTGAAGAAGAAGATGCAATACACCAGACCCAACAATTCAGAAGAGCTAAAAGCCACTATTAGAGCAACCTGGGCTATCATAACACCTGAGCAGTGCCACAGACTGATCGACTCCATGCCACGCCGCATTGCTGCAGTAATACAGGCCAAAGGAGGCCCAACTAAATACTGAGTGCTGTACATGCTCATACTTTTCATGTTCATACTTTTCAGTTGGCCAACATTTCTATAAATCCTTTGTTTTTATTGGTCTTCAGTAATATTCTAATTTTCTGATATGATGAATTTGAGATTTTCATTTGTTGTCATTTGTAATCATCAAAATTAAACAAAATAAACATCTGAAATATATGAGTTTGTATGTAATGTATGAATATAATATACAAGTTTCACTTTTTAAATGGAATTACTGAAATCAATCTACTTTTTCATGATATTCTAATTTTATGACCAGCACCTGTAAATACAGCTATGTTTGAATTCAGTTGCTTTCAGTTATGTATCAATTGAAGACACGATCCAGATCATACCCAGCCAGTCAGCCGCTGGTAAGGGCTGGATCTTTTTCTTACAGTGTTCAGTGAAAATATCGCAATGCATCGCAATATTTCAAGTATCATGATGCATCGTGATAGAATCGCATCGTGACTTCTTTGCCAATACCCACCCCTACCGTTGAGTGACAGCTGTCATCGCAGCTGCCTGAATGCCATTACGTGCACAGCAGTGGCGCTGTCGGACTCTGCTACCGTTTTTTGTTTTGTTTTATTCTTGGTTGGCTAATGGTAGGGCTAGTGAAATTCTTGATGGGCTATAGACTATCCCATCGCCACCCTGGCGCCGCCTATGCACCAGATGGACTTGTGAAAATCTTCCAATTCTTTAAGAGAGCCAGAGGTGGCTGAAGCCAAGAAGAAACTTCATGGTAGGAATTGTCACTCTCTGCCTGTGGACAGCTTTATTCACAAAGGGAGTGGCGGCCTTGTGGGCAGAATCCACAGGTTCTGAGTTCGAGCCCCACTCCCACAGACTGCCACTCTCTGAGCAAAGACCCTTAACCCCACACAGCTCCCTGGGCGCCGTACAATGGCAGCCCACTGCTCCCCAAGGGGAGGGGTTTAATGCACAGGGTTAATTTCGTTTGCTCTGTACTTTTGACTGTGTAATGCCAATGAAATAAAAAAAATAAAAAAGCAACTTGTGGTTTATGGGAGGAAGGGTAGTGGAGAGCTGACCAGACCAGAAAGGATCAGTCCATAGACTGAAAATAAAGACTAAAAGCAGCAATCTGCAAAGACAGCTGAAAAAGTTAGACCTTTTTGAAACAGGCTTCATCTGAGTGAAGAAAAATGGAGGACTATGTCTTCAATTCAGTTCAGTTTATTTCTATTGCACCAATTCACAACACATGTCATCCCAACACACTTTTTGTGTCAGTTTTTTACAACGATAATATTTAAAAGATTCGTTCCTCTGCTCTTCTCCTGTCACAGATGATGAACTTGGTCCTTCTCCTGTTTGCGGTGCGCTTCCAGTTCCTGCCCAGCGCCTGGATCGTCTTCGCTCTGATCCTCTATGAGGGTCTGCTTGGCGGAGCGGCTTATGTGAACACCTTCCACTTCATCAGCAAGGAGGTAACGTCTTCACTCTGTCAGATCCCTCCTTTCAGAGAATAGAAGATGGAAGTGGAGGTAAAACATCTGGCTAAATCTGGGTCTGATGCACAGATGTGGACAAATTACTTCATACTTTTGATAAAGATGGGAAAGAAAATTACAATGAATAATTATTTCAGAGCTATAATCTAATTAAAAAAAACATTTATGAGCTGAGGAATATTTCATGCTAAGAAATCATTTTCCGGGCCTGCAGGGGGCGCAGTGGTTAACGCGCACGGCCCACGTATGGAAGCCTTAGTCCTCAACCCGGCCGACTCGGGTTTGAATCTGGCCTGTGGTCCTTTGCTGCATGTCTCTGCCCCCCCTCTCATTCCCCCTTTCCTGTCAGCCTAATTTAGAAAAAACAAGCCACTAGTGCTGTAAAAAACTTACAAAAAATAAAAAAACACTCAAAAAAAAAAAAAAAGGAAGAAAACCACCACTGGAGCAAAAAGTGTGATCTGTGGCTCTCCATAGCAACTATTAGCAAGAATCTACAGACCAACCAATTATTAAGGAAGGGTGCCTAGATGAAATATATTTTGACCTATAATCAGAAATAGAAACATACAGTTACCTAAAGTCCTCTCTGTCTCTAAATGGAGCGGTTCAGGTCCCAGCCTGGTAGGCTGAGCTGGACAGAAGAAAGAATCAGATAGACCCAGGACTGGTTCATCTGGATCTAATCAATCAAATAGTAAAAATCCTCATTAAAATAGTGCGACCCACAGCAATATCCACCTGTTATCAGCTGTGCTCTTCCTTTTAGATTTCTGTTTGAATGAGGAATTAAGAGCTCCTGCCTTCTATTCTTGTTTTATCCAAATGTGTGTATTTTGATAAAACAAATACACACATTTGGATTAAAGGATTGCATTTTGATATGTAATCCTATTAAAACGTTCCTTTTTTTAAGAATATTTATTTGTAAAATATTTTTCTCTTTTAAATCAGGATTTCCACGGCTCATTAAAAATCATTAAAAGTCATTAAATAATTATTTTTCTAATTAAGGCATTAATTGGCATTAAAATTCATTAAATGTGATTATTGTGGCATTTAAAATGCTTTATAAAAAAAAAAAAACATTTTTAAAAACAGCTTTGTCGGATATATTCAGGGTTCCCGCGGGTCCTTAAAAAGTCTTAAAAGGCATTGAATTCTTCAAAATAAAACTAAGGCCTTAATTAAAATGTCTTAAATCAGTCTTTCATAGGTCTTAATTTTTAAAACATCATAAATAGGATTATTTTTATTACGCTTTGTTTTTGTAATCAAAATAAAACGTTAAAATTGACAATTAAAAAAAAAACATTTTATTAAAAAATAACGGCTCGCCATTATTGGTTCCGTCCCGATAGCGGAACCAATAAAGCGTTGTTGCGGCCGGGACATTTGGGAGATGCACCATTAACTTTTTGTCTGGAAAATATGAGCAAGTGTAAATGTAACCAAAATTGTCTCCAGCCAAGAGTTTTCTCCATGGCTAAAACCAGGGAACATACATGAGGGTCAGTGGATTTATGCAAGAAGTCATTGAAGCTCAGAACGATGGGAATGAAGGCAGTGGAGTCGCACATGCGAAGCACGAAACACAAAGCGTCAAAATGGAGTTACAGAGAAACAGCCGGTATTTCTCAGTTTAGTTCCACCCTTGTCTCTGCAACGCCTCCACTTATCACCAAATCAAACAGACTAAGAAAACCATACAAAGAAAAATAGCTGCTAAAAAGACTTAGCACTGGTTATGTTGTGGCTTTAAAGCTGATTTGTTTTGTTCCCTGCTAAAACAAAGTTTGTGAATTCAGTTAAATAATTGTTAAAATATATCTGTCATTTGTGTGTTTTTAGCTTTCTTCCTGTATGGGAAGCTTTTCAAAATGTGAAACATTAGTGCAGTGGTTTATGTTAAAATAAACCTTTGGGTTAAGTTGTCGCAAGCAGGTTTTTCTTGTGTTTCTTGTGAAATTGGTCTTAAATTTTATATTTCAAGTGGCATTAAAAAGTCTTAAAAAGTCTTGAATTTAACTTGCCTTATGCTGTAGGAACCCTAATATTATATTAGATATAACTGGTTCCGGAGCTGCTTCCGGTTGTTCGTAAAGCTGTATATTCAGAAAAGGCAAGGAATTCAGGACATGGCTGCAGCCTGTCGACGGTAAAAATGACGAAGGATTTTGCAGTGTTTTTATATATAAATATATACTTGTTGATGGCATTAAAATTATTTCTATTATTTCTGCATTAAATAGCATTGAATTAGAGTTACCCATTCCTTGATAAATGTGTGGTTAGTGTGAAGAGTATAGATTAGAGCATCCTGACTGGCTGGAGAATCCTGGTCTGCATCTTTATAAACACCTGTTGAGTCTTTCCTGATGGACGTCTTTTCTCCCTCAGACTGAAAGCAGATACAGAGAGTTCGCCATGGCAACCGCCAGTGTTGGAGACAGTCTGGGGATAGCCCTGGCTGGAGGCGCTGCGTTTCCTGTGCACGATTACTTCTGTTCCCTGTGACGAAGCCTGCGCCTCTACCAGCAGGACGGATAAGCAACGCTTCGGGGATTCGTTCAAATCAGCAAGGCTTGTTAAAAGGAAGATTCCTACGACTCGCACACATTCAGAGAGAAATCCTCCTGCATTCATTCATTCACAACAGATGCATCAGCTGCATCTTAATTCTATGTCCAGAGTGTTGTTGTTTCTCTGGGCTGTCTTTCTTATGTTATTTTACCAATATTTTTTCTATATTGCACTATGTTTTTATCTTCTAACTTAAGCGCTTTATTTGAAGTTTCTTTATAAAAACTGGTTTTATTACTCAGATTCATCAGGAGGCCAACAGCAGATATTAAGGAGAGCTCTGGTTCCTGTAAACTGGACCTTCAGTTAATCCCTTAACTGTCAGGAGAACATCTGTGTCCTGAAGGAAAATATTTATCACTTCTAAACATCAGTAACTAAAAACTGGTTCCCAGTAAAGCTAACTGGACTGTGTAGTGGAAAAAGTTAAAGTGTGACCTTTAGAAAGCCATCAGGGTCTTCAAATGGTTCAATAACAGCATTTCATTAGATTTGCCCTTTTTAGGTGTTTTGGGCATTTTTAGGGTGACAGCTGACAGATGAAAAAAATCTTTTTCTGCTATTTTCCTCTGAAACAATAATCAAAAGAATAATGACTGATGTTTTATATTTAATATATATTTACATTTTGAGGGTCGGCTTAGTGATTGTGATGAAAAGAGAGGCGATATTTACAAGCAATAACTGCAAGTGAACTCTTCCTGGCCACTAAGGGGCACCCTTACTTTCCTTTACCACTGATCTCTTTTTATTCACTGTTGATAGCCTGAAAAAAGTGAGGTCACTGGCTGCAATATTGGTACTCTCCGCTCCCACAGTAAAAATGCCTTTGTGTTACATTTGGTGGCTAAAACAAGCAGTTTTCTGGCTGTGGGAAGTCATTTTACAGGTAATTTCACAGTCAGCGGATGAACTAACCAATAAATCCATCTATGCGCTGAAGGATCCTATAGTATAGAATGTAGCGTAACAGTCTGGCTATCTTGCACTGACTGTAAGACATTGATTGAGTTAGCCATTGATACTGTGTCTAATGTTGGAAAATAGAAAGTAGAGTACATAGAAAGTAAAAGTCCTTCTCATAATATTAGCATATTGTGATAAAGTTCATTATTTTCCATAATGTAATGATAAAACTTGAACATTCATATATTTTAGATTCATTGCACATTAACTAAAAGGTTTCAGGCCTTTTATTGTCTTAATACAGATGATTTTGACATACAGCTCATTAAAACCCCAAATTCCTATCTCACAAAATGAGCATATTTCATCCGACCAATGAAAGAAAAGTGTTCTTAATACAAAAAAGTCAACCTTCAAATAATAATGTACAGTTATGGCTTCAATACTTGGTGGGGAATCCTTTAGCAGAAATGACTGATCAATATGGCGTGGCATGGAGGCTATCAGCCTTTTTTTTTTATTCTGAGTTAAAGTAATCTAGTGATGCTATGAAACAGCCAGTCTGTGTCAAAGTGATGAATTTATCTTTATTTTAAAAGTCTTAAGTCCCCCTGAAAAAGAGAACATGTGGCGCACAGATTGTTTACACTGCGACCGGTCTAACTAGGGAGTACCAATATGGCGGCCTGTTCCTTCACTCCACCCCATACTACCAACAGGCTATCAGCAATCCAGTGGTTCCCACTCTCTCTGTACTGTTTGTGACCGGTTGATAAAGCCAACCAAACCAAGCATTTAACTTACCAGTTCAGTAGAAAAGTGGCAAAAATCCACAAGCACCTTAGAAACTCTAGAAGTTCTTGAAATCTTAATTTTTTTTTTACCTGAACACATCCCAGATTTTATCTCCTGTAACATGATTGATCATTTACAGGTCTATAGATGCGTTTATGGTAAAACTATTAATATTATTTTTGGAGTGAACTGTCCAGCTGGAAGCTTCCTCTTTATAACTTTCTATAAAAGGTAAAATGAATCAAAGCTTTTTGATATAAAAATAGATCTTTATAACCACTAAGGGCTCAACAAAGTCTATTTCAGTGCTCATCATATTTTTGATTTTTAATTATTGCTTGTTTTTGCAATTGCATTATTTTTTTTTTTTTTTTTGCCATCTATTGATAAAGGCATCAGTAGCGTCAGATGAAGATACCAAACTGGGACATAAACTGTGTTTTGTTTTAGAAGAGGAACCAACAGAACAGGTAATTACTGGGCAGGTGAAGATGCAGCTCATGGTTATTTGTTCCAAACGGGAAGTAATATTTTATGTGAATTAGTTTAAATGAGTCTAAATCTAGTTTTTAAATGTGTTTGTAAAGAATGTACAGTAACTTTATGACAGTTTAAGGAGAAGTTTAATTTATGGACTTATAAACTTTTTAAAGATGTGCCTTATTTAAAAAAAAAAGTGCTTCCAAAACAAACTGATTTGAACATTCCTACTGACACGGAGGCATGCGATTAGTTTGTACCTCTGTTATGAATTTTTGCAATAATAAAGAAAGATGTTTGTTTTTCTTGGATTGTGCAGAAACCCTGCATGCCACCTCAGTGAGGGACCTCAGGTATTGATCTTAGAAGTAACTGGTTATTTCTTCCCTTTGTGTTGCTGTTGTGTTTGGATGGAAATGAGATTTATTTTAATCTTTTTTTAATGAAATGGGTAGCTATATATAACGCATTCTTTATTCTATCCCTCTTCATTTGTATTTATGGATAAATGAAATAAATCAAACCATTTCTTTTTGTTATTTAGTGAATGTTAAACCTTATTCCAAAGTGAAAGTCTTAGGAGAATCAATACTCTCCTGTTTTCATTTTGGTTTGTTTTTGAATAATAAAGATTAAAATAGCTTTCCTTGTTTTGTTTTTTGTGTCATTTCTCTGCTGAAGTTCTTTTACGGCACTAGTGCCTCGTTTTTTCAACAGCAGGCTGACAGGAAGGGTATGAGAGTATGGCAAGCCGTTTTAACAAATTCGGTTGTAACGCCTTTACGTTCAAGATATCTCAAATTGTTTTATGACTAGACGTTTTAATGATTTAAGATATCTCTGATTATATTTTGACTAGTCAAAATACCTATTCGAGATATCTCTAATTACATTCTGACAAGTCGAAATGACGTCAGATTTACCATTAAAGGTACACTATGCAACCGGTATTGATTTCCCAGCGAGGCTCCCCCCAGAGGACGAAAGTAAAAGTGCACTGTCGTAAATATGCACAGCTGTTCTCCTGGTTTCTCCGTCAAGCCAGGCGCGGTTGTTTTGAGCTTAGCAGACAGGCGAACGCAACGAATGACTAATGCTGCGTTCACACCGCAGCTGGCGCGACAGAAGCAGCGAGTTTACATGCAAAGTCAATGGTTGACGCGCGTCAAGGCGCAGCAAAAGGTCCCGCAGCGCGTCTGAGCAGCTGAAGCAGCGCGTCAGGCGCGTTTAATCATCTGACGCAGGGAGAGAGACACAGCGCTGATGATCAGAGGCTATGATCACTCCTCTTAAACAGTTTATTGACGCCTAAATTAACTTAAAATGCAGAAATCTGCCGGCAGAATATGCAGTTTGGATTATTTAGATGAAAAACACCTACCAGCTGCCGCGGTGAACCGCTGCTGATGAAGGGATCCCTACTGTCGGCGCACCGCTGGTATGTGGGGGTCTGAGCGGCTCCGACAGAAAAAATATTGAAGGCAGGATGATAATCTGAATGAACTGATGGCACTGATTACGTTTTCAGGTGTATTTTCTCATTTAAACACATATTAAAACTACTTTATTCCCACCGATCACAGCAAATATAGCTGCAAGGCAGAGAAAGGATAGTGAAGCTCCGCCCAACGTGCCTCAGACACACTTTTGCACCGCGCAGCCAGAGCAGCAAAGCTGCTTCAGCCGCGCGTCAGAACTAACTGGTACAAGCACCAAAAATGAAGCAGCAGACGCGATTTTGCTGCTTTTGCTGCGTGAACGTAAGATAACCACACAAAGATCGCCACTGTGCTAGCAACGAGAATGCTTTTAATTGGGGGCGTGTAGCAGTCCTCGCCGTAAATTAAGACTGACTCTCGCGAGACTTCTGAGCCTGTGGGTGCGGGTCGGTGCTCCTGCAATTGCAAGTGCGGTATTTCCCCCACAGACCACCAGGGCGGCCGAGAATACCTTTGTTCAACCTGAAATGACTCATTTAATCATCCAAAACGATATGGAACACTTAATTAACTGAAAAATGTTGCATAGTGTGCCTTTAACTTGCATGGACACGTCCATTTTAGATATCGAATGAATTACTGACTATCTGAAATACATATTTCAGATATCTACGATTAAATTAAGACATGACATAAAGTGATTTTATGATATCTCGATTTTAGTTTTGACTAGTCATATTTCTAATTAAAAATATCTCAAATGCCACCATAATTCAAGATATCTTAAATGTATTTTAGGATAGGAGATATGCAGTTTTGACTAGTGAAAACTCTATTATAGATATCTTAAAAGCAAATAATGACTAGACAAAAAGAATTTAAAGATATTTTGAATTGTAATTTCGAACATTCAAAATTCATTTTAAGATATCTCTAAATGAATTAAAGATATGTTGAATTATTCAGCTTTTCCATTTAAGATACCTTAAATTGACATTCTGACTAGTCAAAATGTGTAATGATCTTTTTAATGGGCTTCCAGGAGGATCATTCCTAAAAAAAATCCTTACTGTCAGTTTAATCCAAAGGAGGAAAAGTTAAATCCGCGTGTGACGCTTTAAATGACAAATCCGGTGACGTAATTTGAGATATCTTGAAAGGAATTTTTACTAGGCAAAATGTAATTTAAGATATCTTGAATTGTTATTCTTCCTAATCAGAATGTAAATACAGATATCTTAAATTACCATTCCGGATAGTCAAAATGTATCCTAAGATATCTGGAACGTAATTATGGCTGGTCAGACGAAACCGAATTTATGTTAAAAAGGTTTGCCATACTGAGAGAGGGAAAGAGACATGTGGCAAAGGACCACAAGACGGATTGGAACCCCTGTTCAGAGCCGCATCGAGGACTAAGGTCTCTGTACATGGGTCATGCACACTAACCACGGCTCCACCTGTACGCCCCTGCTGAAGTTCTTTCCAGGTGTAGAATCTATAGCAGGTGGATCTACAGATCAATACATCAGGTGGGTTCTCAAATTTACAGATTATTTAAAATGACTGAAAATTATCCAGAAAGCTACAGATATTAGAAAATGTAATTTTGAATACTTAAGTACTTTGAAAAGCATGTACTTTTGAAGACTTAAGTATTTTTCAAAGTGAGTACTTAAATACTTTAACTTGAGTAGATTATTGACTAAATTATTTTTAATTGTAGTTGATTAATATTTGACTACGAGTATCGATACTTTTACTCAAGTACTAATGTTGAGTGCTTTGTGCACCACTGGTTACTTCTCATCCCTGCAAGTTAGAATCTGATGGGATTTACTGACCAACATGGAGGGTTACCATCGTTAGAAAATGGACTCCTGGTGAGTTTCTCTGTATTTTCATAAAGAAGGTTGTTCCGTTTAATTCAGTTTATTTATATAGCGGCAATTCACAACACGTCATCTCAAGGCACTTTACAGTTCAAAAGATCATCCAGTCAAATTGATTAAAGTTTAAACCAGTTGATTGCATCGACTCATTGACTCTTCAGCAATCCCTCACACTAAGCATGCTTGTAGTGACAGTGGAGAGGAAAAACTCCCTTTGAACAGGAAGAAACCTCCAGCAGAGCCAGGCTCAGTGTGAGCGGCCATCGGCTGAGGCCGACTAGGGTTCAAGGAGACAGAAGCAGACATAGAAAAAGAAGCATAGATACAAAAGGCAACAGTAAAAGGCGGCCCCGTCCAGGAAACACACAGCCAGGCAGACGAGCGCTGAGCCAGCTCCCATGTCAGAGGATGAAGAGAGCACATCCAGTTAGTCACAGTCAGAGAAACAGGACTACACTGGAAAACAGGCTAATATCCAACAACTAGAAACAAAGGTGTTGATGGCAGCAGCACAGCTGATATTTCTCTCTAGGATTGAGTCACAGCCAAACAGGAACAGACCAGATGAAGCTACTATGAGGAAAAGCAGAGAGAGCAGAACGTTAGAGATTGAACTAACAGATTCTGCAGAGTGGGAGAATAGAGATAGAATGAAGCAGAATGATGAAAAAGGGGTCCCTATGTCCTCCAGCAGTCTAAGCCTATAGCAGCAGAACTATAGAGATAGCTCAGGATAACCTGAGCCACTCTAACTAGAAGCTTTATCAAAAGGGAAAGTTTTAAGCCTAGCCTTAAAAGTAGGCAGGGTGAACCAGATGAACCAGAACATAATTGAAGGGGTTAAATAACCAAATACTGTATAGTTTTTTTTTTTTTTTTTTTTTTTTTTTTAGTAAAAAGCGTATACAGTATTAAAAAAAATACATATTTTATGGATGCTTCCATACCCTCAAAATAGGCTGAAAACGGCTATGACTCCAGCATAAACGGTCGCTGATTAGGCGCTGGAAATCAGGCCGACCAATCAGCGGCCAGCCCCCCGCACCGGAAGTTACGGTGGAGCGGTTGGTGGAGAAGAAGGTACCGGGGGAGGGAGAGGAGCCGGTGAACGAACAGTGAGAGAATTAACCATCCCCTCAGAACAACGTTGATTATCGTTTTTCACACTTCTACAATCACGGTAATTACGCTTTAAAGTCCTATAGATTGAGCAGAGATTGGTTCGCCGGGGATGTGTGTCGCGTTAACGGAAGTGTCTTGCTGCGTAAATAAGCCTAGCGGAGCTAACCAGCGCTTTGGCCGAATGTTGAGTTAACCGGCTGCTAACTGACAGCCTTTTAGCTCCTCAAATGTCCATAATTCAATTTATTCCTCAGACCAAGGGCGCGTAAAGGTGTTTGATATACAATATAGGAGATTTTCTAACCCTGGAGACACATTCCGACACAAAATGGTTGGCTTGGTTCTCAAAGAATCACTTGTTCTCTGACGTATCGGTGGTGATGTAAGCTAACATGCTAGCAGCTAGCATAGGTGCGTAGCTAGCTGCGCCTCTAGGCCTCACATTCCACAAGAAGCAACGCCACTTTTCTTTGCTCTTTTGGTCTTTTTCACTCTTAATAATTTCTTTTTTTAGGATACGATAGTTTATATTTTAGAAATCAGACCGGATTTCGCTTCAACTTTACAGAACAAGTGACGTAATGCTTCGTGTGGTGGTTTTACATTATCATTACCTTTAAACAGTTTATTTTTTCTTATCTCCTTAGCTTTTTACAGTCCAGTTCGTGGCTGGAGGAGATCTCCGCTCCCTCTCCGTGCTGGATTTTGGCCCGGTTGCGTTTGGGGGTGGAGAAGCCGAGAATTGAACGATCCGTGGGAGAGAAAAGTGAGGAGCTCTCTATGTGTGTGACTATGGGGGACATCAGTGATCTGGACCGACAAATAGAGCAGCTGCGACGCTGTCAGCTCATCAAGGAAAATGAAGTCAAAGCTCTGTGCGCCAAAGCCAGGTGAGTGCTGCTAGAAATGCTGTATCTAGATGGATCTAAAATCCTTCATAGTCCTGGTGAACCCAAAACAACACGAACAAAACCTTCTCAAGAAACGATGGAAAGTCCTCCTTGGTTTAAAGATCTTGATCCCTAATTGGAAACTAGTTAATTGGCCATTACAGGTCTGAACTATATCTACCCCAAAAGGACTTAATTTTGTTTTAATGCGGAGCAGCAAAAAATTAAGCAAAGTTGTGAAAACAATTTGATTTGTGATAATGAAGAAGTGATTCTTCCTGCCTTGGCTTCATTGTAAATATAGATTCCTTATCATGAGCAGTCTACCCTCTAAAGCCAAGCATACAGTCTACGATATTTTCAAACGTTGCACGTATTACACCCCTGTAAAAGGGGAAAATAGAAATACAACATGGACACGATGTAGTTCAGTCAAATCCAATGTTGTAATGGGCAAACAAGAGAGCAAAACATGTGTTCACATTGTTACAAATGTAATTTCTCTTTTACAACATATTGTCTGAACAATATTCCTAAACAGCCATTTTATGGCGTTCTTCCCATAAAAACAAATGCAATGGGAGAAAAATGGCAACCACGTATAATTTGATCCACCCCTTAGCATTACGCCCGACGCAGTTAGCACACAGTTAGCATCATGTTCAGCCTACAAAGTGCACAGACAGTATTAATGATTCAATGTGTACTCTTAGTATTACCGAAACAATATAAGTGCCTTCATAAACTTTTTAAACATAAAACAACCCTCAGTCTTACTTGTAAAAGGGGAAAATAGAAATACAACACGGACACGATGTAGCTCAGTCAAATCCAATGTTGTAATGGACGAACAAGAGCCACATGTTCCAAACACAGGCCAGGCGAGGCATTAGCAATCGAAAACAGATAAATCGATCCGAACTTAAAACTTACAGCACGAGAGAGTTACACTCAATAGCCGGGTTTCAGTCACGTGACGATTATGACGCGGCCAGGGGGCGCGATTTCAGATGGAGGGCAGGAAGTCTATGAAGTTAGTGTAAACATGGAGGATACCGTTACCGAGAGCCCGTATTGTATGAAGTTAGAGCCTGTTTCAAGACACAGATACAAGGAGTTGATATACAGATATGTTGGACGTGACCTGTACCTCATGAAGATGAGTGAGTTTTCGGTGGACCTTAAAGATTTGCCGACAGTGGAGGCCGTCGACATAACGAACTATCTGGTCCTTCAGACGTCGTATTACACCAAACAGCAAATGAAGGCCTATAAATGTATGAAGGCATATAACTTCTTTGTCAGCGGGTGGGTCCACAACCTCGGCACCAAACGTCTCCACAACGATTATTGTCTAGTCTTCGCCAGGGTGAGTGTTTGTTCTTACCGTATTTTCACAACCATAAGGCGCACCGGACTAAAAGGGGCAGTCTCAGTTATGTGTGCCATTTCTGTATTTAACACACACATAAGGCGCACCGGACTATAGGGTGCGTTTTTTATATACAGGTACATGTCCTCTCAGGTGGATTTTCCCACTTAAAAACATATTAAAACTACTTTATTCCCACTGATCACAGCAAATAAAGCTGCAAGGTGTATTTATTACAAAGTATTATTCAAACCTGGGAACCGGCCGTGAGAGAAACATCACTAATGACACAGGGCTGTGATTACTCCTCTGTTACAGTTTATTGACGCATAAATTAACTTAAAACATAGGCAGGATAATAATCTGGATGAACTGACTGCAATGATTAAATTTTCAGGTGGACTTTCTCACTTAAAAAGATTTAGATTATTTAGATGAAAAAACACCTGCGGAGGTGAGCCCGGATGCGCCGCGGCCCAGAGGCTGCTGTTGAATTAAGTTTTCAGGTAGAAAAATAGAGCGGGAGCAAAACTGAGTATGATTGTGCTTTATTCAAGTATTTATTACAGAGTATTAATCAAACCCCTCAAAGTCATCATCCTCTGTTTCTGAATTAAACAGCTGCGCTAAATCCGACATGCCAGTTTCCCCTTCTTCTTCGCTGTCAGAGTCACTTTCCGTGCCGGGCGGCTCCTCGGAAATGATGCCGGCTTTTGCGAAAGCTCGAACAACAGTCCCAGCAGAAACGTTAGTCCAAGCATCTACAATCCATCCGCAAACGGTGGGGTAACTTGCCCGGCGCTGCCTTCCACTTTTAGTGAAACTGGTCTCCGTCTGTCATCCATCGCTCCCACGCCGCTCGCAGCCTTACTTTGAACGGCCGGTTCACACCGATGTCGAGCGGTTGAAGTTCCTTTGTCAGACCTCCCGGAATAACAGCAAGCACAGCGTTCATTTCTTTGACCTTTTTTTTTCACATCGGCTGTGAGATGGGCACGCATGGAGTCACAAATTAACAGAGATGGTGATGCGTGGAAAAAACCACCTGGTCTCCTTACATACACCTCCCTCAGCCACTCTTTCATCATCTCCTCGTCCATCCAGCCTTTTTCATTCGCCTTAATAACAACTCCAGCTGGAAAAGTCTCTTTAGGCAAAGTCTTTATTTTAAAAATCACCATAGGCGGCAGTTTCTGTCCATTTGCGTGGCAGCCAAGCACAACAGTAAACGACGCCTTTTCATACCCCGTTGTGTGTATCGCTACAGTGCTGGTCCCCTTCTTCTCCACGGTGTGATTCACCGGGATGTCGAAAGTGAGCGGCACCTCGTCCATGTTGGTGATGTGGCTTGGCTGGATGACTTTGTCAGCGATGTGTTTGCTGAAGAAGGAGTGGAAGCTCGCCAGCTTTTCATCATAATCCGCCGGACGTCGCTGGGCAGCTGTAGTCCTGGTCCGGATGGAAAAATTGCACCGTTTCATAAAACGGAAGCACCACGATGGTCTCCTTGAAAATTTTCAATTTTCATTTCTTCCGCCAGCTTTACTGCTTTTAGTCGAACAGTGACCGTTGAAACGCTGGCCCCACTCGTTCTTTGCTCCACGATCCACCGCTCGAGTCTTTCCTCCAACTCGGGCCACCTCGCCTTATGTCCGCGGAAACTCAGCTGCGTCTTCTTCACCAGTCGGAGTTCGTTTTCCAGCTTCCTCCACTTGCGAACCATCGATTCATTTATATTGAATTCTCTCGCAGCTGCTCGATTTCCATGTTCCTCTGCCTAGCTGATAGCCTTCAGTTTAAACTGGGCTTCATAGGCGTGTCTCTTTGCCATTTCCAGGGTTGTTAAGACAACAATGTTCTGCATAAAGCACATACCTGTTCTTTTATACACAAGCCACGCCCACACTTCTCCCTTTAAGGTTCTCACATACTCATGGTGGTCTCAACAACGTCCGCAGATAGGGCGCACCGCACCATAGGGCGCACCCCACATTTTGAGGGAAAAAAAAGACGTTTAGGTGCGCCTTATAGTCGTGAAAATACGGTATATTGTTTTATGTGTTAAAAGATGCTAGCGTTAGCAGTAGCGGTTAGCCTCACAGTTGTTTATGTTTCTCTCGTTGAAGAGATGCTTCTGATTTGGGCTTAGTTTTTTGATAACCGAGGTTGACCGTCGGAGCCCAGTCTACCGATTCAACGTCACCCAAAGCGCTAGGACAGCATAAACAGTCACAATGAAGTCCATATCAGACTACCGGTAACTTATTAATCATTACTAAGTACATGAGCATTTAACGATAACCCTATGCTATATAAACACAACCACTAAAAAAAGTTAGCTAGCTAACATAACGTTATAGCTTACCTCCGACGAAGTGGTCACTGCAGACACGGGCATTGGCAGACTCTGCTCCTTCAGATCGCAGACATAGGTTTAGAATCCATTTTTTTTCGGCGTTTTTCTGTGAGCTTTTTACAATTTTCACCTTTATGGACGACAATCCTAATTTCTCCTAATTTCCGCGTGCGAGGGCCTGCCCTCCTTAAATCATACCAGCCCCAACACTTAAGGCCAATTTATGCTTCTGGCGGATAGCCTCTGCAACCGTCAAATCTGTCTCCGTGCTCAAAAAAATCCTGACTATGCGTCGGGCGGTCGCAAACCCACGCAGACCTCAAACGGAAGAGCGCAGACAAAAAGCAGCTGTGATTGGTCCTTGGTACGCCTTTCCGGCTGTCTGTGTGGCCGTCCTTCTCGATTTGGTGCCGGGGCGCGCCATAAAAAAAAAAAAAAAGAGGAACAACTACAGTAAACAACCTACCCATCCTCCTTTTTTCAACTCTATTAAAAGAACCAGTTCCTCTTTGTTGTCTAGCAACTCTAGATCCATCTCTGTGATTGTGATATGTTGCAGACACGCCATTGTTGTTTTGGAAGATAAAGACTCCCGTCGGCGCCGCTGAAGTTCTCTAGAGTTCTTGAATAGGCTCCCCATTGTGCTTTGTAGGGGTGGGCGATATGACAATTTAAGACCGTGTTACGATCTGCACCTCTGACGATCTGTCATTATTAAGAGACCGTTTTATCAGGATCCACAGAACTGCAGTGCTGCTGTATTTCTGCCACTGACCACATTTACACGCAACCCAAAAAGAATTAAATCCGAGAATATAATCCGAGGGTTTGACGTTCGTCCGTTAATTTAAAAATCAGTTAAGGCATCCCCCCCCCCCCCCCCCCCCCCCCCCCCCCCACACACACACACACAAAGCTGACTGCTGCTTCAGCAGCAGCGACCGGTCCTTCTCCCGAAGCAGCAAACGTTAACAGATTCATTTACAAAACTTACTCCCAACGGTAAAGGCAGTAAACAGCGTGACAGAAGCGGTGACGTTACACTCGGTGAAAGATTTATGTCCTCTACGAACCGCAGAAGGAGTGGGATTTAATAAAATGTTAAACATTTTGGATCCACGCTACGAGTTAACCAGCCGCAAGTATTTTTCAAACACCGCTATTCCACGTATGTACGCCAAATGCAGAGAGAAAGTTTCACAAAGTTTTAAAAATGTGCAGTTCTTTGCCACCGCAAGCGACCTCTGGTCCAGCCGCACGTCAGAGCCGTATTGAGCTTAACCATACATTTCATCAGCAGCTGGGAGCTATGTAATGCAACACTGCAGGCGGCCTATTTTCCTGATCATATCATCATAGGTTGCACAGATTACATCCTGGCTTGCACTATATTTGCAGTTCCATTATAATTTTGGTTTCTAAAGACTTTAGAAATTATACAAATCTATTGTTTAATGTAATATTTTTTTTAAAACTCAAGTTAGTTTCTGTGTGCTTTCTTTTTTCTTTTACTTTATTAGACCAGTTAAGATTTTAAAGTAATAAAACTGCACTAAGATACAGTTAGAATTTTTTTTTATTTTGACTGTGGTTACTTGAAAAATGTAACTAAGTTGTAATTGTTTTCCTCAGGAGTTATTGCATTTTTATACTCTTTAGTGTGTGTTTACAATATATAAATTAAAAAAATAAGTTTGTTAGCACTGCTTTGATTCTCTAATTTTTAATAAACTTGTTCATTTATTTAATTTTTCTCTTCTTTGCATGTAATTGAAGTTATGTTGGACGTATCTAAAAAGATCGTGTTATTTTATTTTTGCCATATCGCCCAGCCCTAGCGCTTTGGCGGGAAACTGCTGTGCGTCCCTAGAAATTCCAGACCGATGGTGCAGAAGCATACCAGCAAAACTGGTTCGCAACCAGACCCAAGCGACATTTGATGTGTGCGGTTACGCTCCGGCCAAAGCTCCTACCTGTGACAGAAAATAACTCAAGGAGTAATCCAGGCCAGTGTAGATGGAATGCGTGTTCTCACACTGTGCGGCCCGACACTCTGATGCGAACTGCTTGCTCAGACTGCACGTCCAAAAACCACACGTCAGACTCAGCTGCGCCTAGAGATGGCGCTGGTCAGACTTTTCAATCTGGAAGAACAACAACTTCCTTGATTGCACATGCACAGTGTTCAGGTTTCTGGTACATCGGCTCGTAGCTCTGCTTCAACAGCAGGACCACCTTACGACGGCCGACTGAATTTCAAACATGTTTGATTTTCTCCCAACCGAACGATTTTTGATTGGAAGGTGGTCGTTAGAGGCTGATCAACCCTCATTACCACCTGTATACTACACGGCGCAGGACGCACCATGGGGTTGAAACTCTGCTCGATCGAGAAAAAATTCTTGCTCAATTGGAAAATCGTCCAAAAAAGGGGGGAAAATATTGTACAGCGTTTGCCCGGCTTAACAGGAAGAAGTTTAATAGTTTTGTTTTGGCAACAATTTTTATTTTATTTTAAGATGTGTCCGTTTGGCATCAGCAGTTTTGACAAGCATACTTGTAAAATGTTTTAAATAAATGCTGATAATGTTAACAATTAAGATGCCAACAAACTGATAATGCTTCACCTGCTCCATGTTCATCACTGCCTCAAAGGCTTCAGTAGCTGAAACACTTTGATCATTAAACACCTTATAAATATATTAGTAAAGCTTCCTTTTTCTGTTTGAACTATTTTAGCATCTGAATAACAAATGCACAGATCTCTATAGTTCAGAGAGACAGTATGTGCATTTGGCACATATTGTCCGTATAGTACTATACTATAATAGTAAATATGACTTGCCATATTTAGGAAAAGATATGCCTTTGCTTTTCATTTTAGAGTTAAGTCATTTAAACATAGGTAGCTTGTTATATATCCATCTACTTGCTGTTTAGAAGAGAAACTGAGCTAAGTCAGCAAAAGTCAGGCTTTATCAAAAATGGTTGTTTAAAATTTCCTGTTTGAAGAAAATAAGTAGCAGCAAAACTATAAACAATTAAATTCGATTAATTGGTTCCTTATTGAAAGTCCATTTATTTCAGCAGTTAAATTCAATAACTAAAACATTATGTAGGTTAATTAGACACAGACGATGTTTACAAGCTTTTATTTCTGCCGATTAAGATGATTTTTGTTCTGTTAAATAATGTAAACTCAACATTTCAAATTAGGATATTATGCAGGAGCGATAAAGATGTATTTTCATACTAATGAAGACTGAGGATCTTTGGGTTGTCTGATGGTGGTTGCTCTAAACCCAACAAGACAAACCAGGGAAAAAAAACCAACTTCTATTTAATTAATTTATATAGCGCAGGTTTACTACATGTCATCTCAAGGCACTTTACAGAAACAATTAACCAGATCATCCAGTCAGATTGGTTTGAAGTTCTCTATCTAAGAAAAACCAGCTGATTGCAACGACACATTGACTAGAATCCAATCCCTCACACTAAGCATGCCTGTAGCGACAGTGGAGAGGAAAAACTCCCTTTGAACAGGAAGAAACCTCCAGTAGAACCAGGCTCAGTGTGAGCGGCCATCTGCTGAGGCCCACTGGGGTTCAAGGAGACAGAAGCAGACATAGAAAAAGAAGCATAGATACAAAAGGCAACTGTCAACCAGCTCCACAGGCGGCCCCGTCCAGGAAACACACAGCCAGGCAGACGAGCTCCGAGCCAGCTCCCATGTCAGAGGATGAAGAGAGCACATCCAGTTAGTCACAGTCAGAGAAACAGGACCACCCTGGAAAACAGGCCAAGCTCCAACATCTAGAAACAAAAGTGTTGATGGCAGCAGCACAGCTGATATTTCTCTCCAGGATGGAGTCACAGCCAAACAGGAACAGACCAGATGAAGCTACTATGAGAAAAAGCAGAGAGAGGAGAACGTTAGAGATTGAACTAATAGATTCTGCAGAGTGGGAGAATAGAGATAGAATGAAGCAGAATGATGAAAAAGGGGTCCCTATGTCCTCCAGCAGTCTAAGCCTATAGCAGCATAACTATAGAGATAGCTCAGGATAACCTGAGCCACTCTAACTAGAAGCTTTATCAAAAAGGAAAGTTTTAAGCCTAGCCTTAAAAGTAGACAGGGTGTCTGCCTCACGGACTAAAACTGGTAGTTGGTTCCACAGGAGGGGATCCTGATAACTAAAAGATCTGCCTCCCATTCTACTTTTAGAAATTCTAGGAACCACTAGTAAACCTGCAGATTGAGAGCGAAGTGCTCTGTTAGGAACATAAGGAACAATCAGATCTCTGATATAAGATGGAGCTTGGCCATTTAAGGCTTTATATGTTAGAAGGAGGATTTTAAATTCTATTCTGGATTTAACAGGAAGCCAATGAAGAGAAGCCAGGATAGGCGAGATATGATCTCTCTTTTTCATTTTCATCAGAACTCTGGCTGCAGCATTTTGGATCAGCTGAAGGCTTTTAACTACAGTTTGTGGACTTCCTGATAGTAAAGAATTACAATAGTCCAGCCTTGAAGTAACAAATGCATGGACTAGTTTCTCAGCATCAACCCTGGACAGGAGATTTCTCATTTTTGCAATATTCCTCAGATGAAAGAAGGAAATTCTAGAAACCTCTTTGATGTGGGATTTAAATGACAGGTCCTGATCAAAAACAACACCAAGATTTTTTACTTTATTATCTGAAATCAGTTTAATCCCATCCAAATGAAGTGACTGGCTAATCAGCTTCTTTTTCAAAGACTCTGGTCCAAAGACTATAACTTCTGTTTTGTCTGCATTCAGGAGCAGAAAGTTAAGAGTCATCCAGGTTTTTATGTCTTCAAGACATGCCTGTAATCTATGTAATGGGTTAGCTTCATCTGGATTTATAGCCAGATATAGCTGGGTATCATCAGCATAACAGTGGAAATTAATCCCATGCCGTCTAATAACTCTACCAATTGGGAGCATGTATAAAGTAAAGAGAATTGGTCCTAGCACTGATCCCTGTGGTACTCCACAGGTAACCTTTGAGCATGAGGAAGATTTGTAATTAATGTGAG